TTCAGAAGGAATATTGGAAGATTGTGATAAAGATATGTCAGAGAAAAATGTAGTGGAACCAGAAAATACAGAATTTGTACAGTTTTCTCAAGAGAAACACGGAGATGATGCACAAATTGAAAATCAATCTATAGATGCAGAAGATCCTTTTGGAGGAGATACTCTCAATGCTGAAAATGTAGAACCAATGGATACAGATGATCCCAATGAAACTGATGTAGGTTTTTCTAAATTATGTAGTCAAGCAGACAATCTACAAGATATTGTAAATGCTAGAGAGAACAGTTTTAGTAGTAGCAATAATAAAGATAACAAAGAAAACAAAGATATTTCTGTTAATACGATAGAATCTTCGAACGCGATACAAAATGTTGACAAGAATCATAGCGAAAGTTCGGCTGAGATAGCGGGAAGTGAAAATTTAAATAAAACAGAAGTTGCAGGATCAACTGAAAAATGTAATGATAGTATAGGAAAAGCTCTCGATGAAATAACACCACTAGAAACGGAAGAACAATCTAATGTGTTACCAGGACAAGACGACGAATTATGTATTATTCCAGATAGTATGAAAGTAATAATTCCAGGGCAAACAGATAAGTCAAAGTCTAATAATAACAAATCCTTGCCAGAAAGTAGTCGCGAGCATAATAAAGATGTAGAAAATTGTCCAGATAATGAATTAAATATTAGTACCAATAATGATCCACAAAAAAGTGCAAAGGAATTAAAAATTGAAGATGAAAATAAATCGAAGGATGTCGAAAATGTCCAAAAAGAAAAAGATTCGACTAACAATCTTGCACCTACAACCGAGGATGTTATTAATATCGACGAAGAGTCAAAACATTCTGAAATTGAAGAAATCACGACTAAAGAAATTTGCAAACAATGCAACGAAGAAAAATCGTGCAAGATTAAAGTAAAAATTGGTTTCGATACCTTCAATGTTTGCTCCAAAACTTGTAAGGCATTATTCAAAGCTGCCAATAACAGGGCTGTGGATATACCCAGCGATGGAGTCAATTCTAAAAGAGAGAAACGTTGCGCGAATTGTTTGCTAATTGTTGAACTTGGCGACGAACGTAATCTCTCGTGGGAAACAATGGAATTCTGTAATGAAGAGTGTTTAGGGAAATTTCAAACAAAGTATGGGAGTTACTGTAGAAATTGCAATGGGTCTGTACAGGCAGTGAGTTTAGGCAAATATTGCGTACGATTTGGCTATGATGTTAGACAATTTTGTTGTTCTACATGTTTAGAAGAGTTCAAGAAAGGACTGAAAGTGTGCACATATTGTCAGAAAGACATAAGTTCTAGCACAGAAGGTTTCCTTGCACCTGTTGGTGACAAAGGCCAATTTAAAGATTTCTGTACACAAGATTGCATGGAGAAATATTCAAAAATGAGTTCTGCTGAGCCTCCAACCATGGAAAAAAAATGTTGCAGTGTTTGCCAAGAAGTAAGAAAGTATTTTCTTTTTACATACTTCTTGTATTTTCAATGTAGAATACAAGAAAGTTTGAAATTAAAATTGCATTCTTTGTAACAGGAAAACGTTGTTCACTGTGAGGTTCAAGTAGACAGATTTGGTCCAGTAGCTATTTGCAGCGAACCATGTTTTGCAGCATTCAAATTTGTAAAAAAAGTGGACCCTGATCAATGTTCTACTTGCAAGAAATTTTTTGAATTACCTCATAAGAAAAATTCTGTTGTATTCTACGAAAACGAGGCTCATACGTTTTGTTCTAAAACTTGTTTAAATATATTTATTATTACGAATAGGAAAATTGTTCCTTGCAATTGGTGCAAGGTAAAAAAGTATAATTTTGACATGATTAAAAAGGAGTTGAAAACAGGTCAAGTGATGATGATGTGTAGCTTAAATTGTTTAACACTATACCAGGTATGAAGTGCTCATTTATTACTAACAGAAAACACTGAAAAATAAAAATAATACCATTTATTTCCAATTTAATGCAGGTTTCGATCAACGCGGTGTCGGCGAAACGAATAAATTGCGATTTCTGTAGAGAGTTCTCTCAAGCACAGTATCATTTAACAATGTCCGATGCAACGATCCGGAATTTTTGTTCGTACAATTGTGTAATGAATTTTCAAGCTCAGTATACTAAATCACCGATTACGATACCAGCCGGCGACGATCCTGTACCTACTGGTATGCCCAAAAGGACGTTACCAGCTCACCATAGAACTACAAATTCCAACAATCAGAAAGCTAGTGATATGCAAAATAAAAAAACAATGCCAGTCATTTCTTCCGTAACGAGTTTAGCCGCAATGGGAAATGGACAATCCAGTCCAACGACGCAACAAAACAGTGTAAATAACATGGTAATACCTTCGGTTGCTATCAACCAAAGTCAAACACCACAAGTAATTTATAAACAACACATTATAACGAAGCCACCAAGTCCGATCCAAATTCATAATAAAACTACGCAATGCAAGCCAGCGATGCACACAAAAGGAGTTTCTGTACGTCCGCATCCTTGTACAAAAGCCACGCAAACGGACGAAGTTAAACAGGCAATTGTCCCGATACCAGTTCCAATTTATGTTCCATATCCAATGCACATGTATAGTATGCCTTTCCCAGTTCCATTACCGTTTCCATTACCAATTCCTGTCCCTATTTTTATACCCACAACGAGAAATAGCGCTAAGGGAATATTTAAAGATATTAAAAGAATACAAGAAAAGATACCAGCAGATCCATTCGAAGCTGAACTTCTTATGATGGCAGAGATGGTAGCAACGGAGAAGAAACCTAACGAAAGTGATTCGGATTCTGCGGATGATAGGTACATTTATGCAACTATTACCAATCATAATTACAGAATAAAAATAAGTGTTTCTTTTTTTATAGAGACGAAGACGCTGGTGATCGCGATCATACTCACAGTGGAGGTTTCAGTCCAGAAGGGGTTGACTCCAGTAACACTTTCGGTGATGATATGTTACAGATGGCTCTAAAAATGGCAACTGGAGAATTAGATGAACCAGCTGTTGATTTAGAAGCTGCTTTAACTCCAAATACAATTACCGCTACGCAAACAGCGTCACAATCCGATACATCCATGGAAAATGATGGTAACAAGGAAAACCTAAGTGAATAATTTGAATTTACTGGAAAGATAATGCAACGATTAACGCTTCTTTTTAACGTTTAGTTCAATCAGAGCGATTAATCGTTGCTTCTCGCGGAAGAAAACGAATGGTTCCGTATAAACCACGGACGACTCCGAGTAAACGAGGAAGACGTGTATCTGCTACGAACGATATGCCTTTGATGCCACCACCCGAGCCTCAACCACCTCCTCAACCAAGAATTATAGAGCCCATAGAAAAACCAGATGCTAATATGGCACTCAAATATACTTTTGGAGTGAACGCGTGGAGACAATGGGTAATTTTCAACACAATTTATTTCTGAGTGAAAATGAGTGTTAAGAATCATTAATTTGTTAAAAACAGGTAGCTGCAAAAAATGCTGAACTAGAGAAACAAAATACATCGATGAGGAAAATAAAATTGTTTAAGACAGATCTCTTGCAGCTTACAGCGGACGAGTTAAATTACTCTCTGTGTCTTTTTGTGAAAGAAGTTAGAAAACCAAATGGCACAGAATACGCTCCTGACACGATATATTACCTATGCTTAGGTAAATTTTCTATCTAAACACATCGATCGGAAAAAGAGTCAGTTTTTTATCATAATTTCGTATTGCAGGAATACAGCAGTATTTATTCGAGAATAATAGAATAGACAACATTTTTACGGATACGTATTATGAAAAGTTTACAGACTGTTTAAACGAAGTTGCGAAAAAATTTTCTGTCCTTTATAACGATGCGCGTAAGTAAATTAATTTTTACATCGATTTAGAGAAATCATACTAAAATATTCATTTTTGTAGAATATATTGTTACAAGAGTGGAGGAAGAACATTTATGGGAGTGTAAACAATTAGGTGCTCATTCTCCTCATGTCCTCTTAAGCACTCTTATGTTTTTTAACACAAAACATTTTAATCTCGTGGTACGTGTAGATTACTTATCCATTAGATTTACCTTAAGAATATCGAAACTCGTTTCTAAAATTAAAATTTGCATTAAAAGTTTAGAGATAAATAAAATCTTTTAGACAGTAGAAGAACATATGCAGTTGTCATTTTCTCATATCATGAAACATTGGAAACGTAATCCTGCTGCACAACCTACCGCAACAACAGGAAAAGTTCCAGGATCTAGAAACGTTCTTCTTCGTTTCTACCCACCGCAATCGGCATTGGGTTGGTATTAAATAATTGACACGTTGCAAAAATAAATATTATAAATTTATGACTTTTCTATAGAAGGCAATTCCCGTAAGAAGAAAGTATACGAGCAACAAGAGAATGAAGAAAACCCGTTAAGATGTCCAGTCAAATTATATGAATTTTACTTATCCAAGTGGTACGTTAATTTTGTTAAAATTAAACTTTCTGAAAGATACTATAGTGCATAACTATTAAATATACTATTTTTCATTACAGCCCGGAAAGTGTAAAGACTCGTAATGATGTGTTCTATTTATTACCTGAAAGAAGTTGTGTACCAGATAGTCCAGTATGGTACTCAACCTCTCCACTGGCTAAGGAACACCTTATAAAAATGCTATATCGCATTAAAATGGTTAAAGAGATTAACGTGGCATTATTAACTAGTTAATTTCATGTTTGCATATTTATCTTCTCTCTGTTCATTTGGATAACATAATAAAAAAAAAAGAATTGATCCCTTGTACAAGAAACAAGAATATTTGAAGAATGATGTGTAATCATTGAAATTTTATAATTTCTATTGTATATTTTTCACTTCCTAATAAAACACAAAACTTATCATTAAAATAATTTGTTGATGATACCTATCATATACTACGTATGAAATATGATCTAAACAAAAATTCAATTACACACACAGAAAACAGCATATAAATGAGTTTTTTAAATGTATATGTAATTGGTAAAATCAAATTATAGTTTACAACTTCCAAAAGTTTATACACTTTTCTTTGGCCTTGTTGACGCACGTTTTCGATTCAGTATGTTCTTCTTTACTTCTAGTTGAGAGAGTTCCATCTGTAGCTCAGAGAATATCTGTTCTTGTTCTTCTTTTGGTATAGTTTCCCTAATAAAATATCAAATTTCCATATATAAGTATAATGTTTCAGAATAGTAAAGTAGAACTTGTACATTATTAATATTGATATACCTATATGATTTCATTAAATCATATTCCTCCCATGGTTTAGCAAACTTTTCTGCCTTCTTTCTACGTTTTTCAGTAACAATTATGTCTGTTGCTCCTTTCAAATTTTGAAGTTCATACTTCTGTATCCATTTCTGTTGTTTAAGAGGAACTTTAATTTTATTTAATGGAACAGGTGCTCCATCAGGGAACGGTTCTGGTTCCATATCAAATGAAAATGTACTATACCGAGGATCTGCATCTCTGAGATAAAGTAATTTATCATCTAACCTTTTCTCTAATCTGCAAACATAAAATTTCACTGTAATTACTCAAATACATTCTATTCATTGCAAACATCCAATTTAAAGTAAATAATTTTGATTGACCTTAAACATTGAACATTCTGAATAGCTGGATCATACAATTCATAGCGTACTTCTATACCTTCGTTATCTACAACATTCCTCAAAATAAAGTAAGCTCTTAATCCACAACCACCTCTCTCTATGCATATACCAACAAATCTGTTTACTTTTCCAGATGCATGTGGCTCTGCATAAGTCACCGCTAATATAGAGCCAACATAAAACTCAGGAATGCTTACAACAGATCTCCTGGCCAACATATCTAAACGCTCTAACTTTTCTCTTATACTGTTACGATATAATGGATTTGGATCTGGTAAAAACTCAGGATAACTAAATCTGTACTTTGCTAAAGTTGATGAATCGATTGACTCTTGCGTAGTTTCATTTTTAGAATCACTTTCAGACTTTGTTTTAAGTATTAATGCTTGTGCTGAAGATGAAGAAGCTCTTGCTTCTTTGCCTAAAAATATTAGTGATAATAACGAAAGAATCCAATACTGCTTGTTAAATATATTAACGCAATAAATGATTATTCATGAAACTTGTAAATATATAATGGTGTTCCAAATACAATGATCGTACTTATCGTTTTCACGAGACGTAGATTTTGCCATATTCTATAAGATAAGAATCTCGATGAAATAACCATATTTCAACATAAAAATGTTAGCTCAAATTTTTTTAAATTACAATATATATTAGGTTACTTTCTTGTAGAAATGTGATGCTTGTTCGATAAGCCGTAGTAAGCAGTAGTAAGCGGTAGATGCCGTTATTCTTCTCCATAAGACCCGATACACATAGCGCTATTGCTACTGAGCGTAAACCTTTCACTGTATAAGAATGGATTCTGATAAGTGGTTGAATCTCAGCACGTGGTTCATTATAGTGAGATTATTACAACTGCATTATGAATTGTAATTATTTATTTACTCACTCAGGATATCTCAAAATGCGATTGTTTAAAATAATCACTTTCAGATTACAGCCATAATCACATGTTTTATTTTAGTGAATTCGTTTCGTAGCTATCGATAGCAGACTTTGACAAGTGTAATTATTTACAAGACATTTTAATTTAATCTCGTAATATTTTAATATGATTATTAAATATTATTTTTTTAGGAATGTTTGTGGTTTTACTGGGAAATGTATGAAACGAACTTTGATGATATGGGTTAAAGAGAGTCTATACTAAATTTACAAAAAATACAATCTATCATACGCAAACAACATTATTATTTTGTGGAATAAGCGCACAATTTTAGAGGTAAAGCCACCAACATTTCTTTTATACTATACTTTTATACTTATATTATAAATTTAAAATTTCTTTTAGGTTTAAGATTCTTTATGTGGTATGATTTAATATGATACAATCTATAACACTAGAGCTAAGGCCTAGGCTCCAGATATGCAATGCTTTCATTCATTTACAAAAAGAAGTAAATTCAGCAAAAGTTAGAATAAAGCTTTTGGAAGAGAGTATAGAGATAACAATAGAGAATAAAACAGTCAAGTTTTTAACAAAATTTATAAAATTAATACCAAATTCATTGTCTGCATTAAATGTAGTAAATGATTGGATTTGTTTCCGTGTGCAAACAGGATCGAATTCTATTTATGGATCTTTTCAAACAGAAATACTTATTAATTCAACAGCAATGATTACTTCAATAAAATTTCCTTTGGAAAACACTGAATTACTTAATACATCAGATTGCAATATATTATGTACATACTGTAAAACAATTCTTTCTAAGAAAATAGTTGTCAAAAGGGTGTTGCCCATACCAGATGCAAAGTATGATCCAAATGAATGGTTTTGCTGTAACCACAATCATGATAATATTACACAAAATTTGGTGCCATTAGAATCTGACATTTTTTATGGACCACTTTTCTTTGTTATACATGCAAGTTTGTTTAATAACAATTTAAAGATAGATGGAAATACTATCATTTGTAATAGATGCTTGCAATACTTGGGAAAAGTTGATACAAATACTTCACTTAAACTGTGGAGTTGTTCTATAGATTACAATTTATTAAGTAACTCAACAACAAAAAATGCAACAGATCCCTTTACTGATTTTTTAATAGCTATTAAGACCTCTATGACTGGTATGCTTGGAGAAGAAATAATTTTGCAATCTTCCATGGGAAAGGACATTCATTCCCTCATTCTAAAACCTATGGACTGGCACTTGAACTTAATGATAGAGCCTAAGACAATTTCACATAATAATACTATAACTTTGCAAACAATATCCATCGTTAAAGTATTATATAAATACAAGACAAGTAAAAGTATTGTTGACTTTACAAATCAAACATACTGTGAAGTAGGATTTCTAGTGATAAAAGCAGGCTTAGAGCATTTGTTATTGTCAACAAAACGATTTCCACAATTTCATAGAGCTGCATCTGACTATTATATCGGACATATATATTTGGAAAAACCTGCAAATGAGACTTAAATGTATTTATGATTTTGTGGAAAGAAAATTTGGACTGTTACATAGTACTACACATATGTTTCACTCATTTTTCAATACAAAAAATATTATCATAATCATAATTTAAACTTGATATGTATGTATTATCTTAATACATGAATAAAATTATATTTTATTAGAAATTTACATATCTATTACTTTATTACATTCTATATTATTGCAAATGTGTTGAGTATATTTCAATACTGTGTGCTCAACTGAAAAATATAGGTGTATATACAATTATAAAAAAATTTACACAAAAAATAATAAGAAATAATTTGATATGTATTTACGCTATTTGAAATGTAAATGGTTGTAGCTTAAATCCAACATAAGTTAAGAAACATTCATGTACATGTGGAACTATTAAAATGGAATCTGTAATTGTATTTATTTATTAATCAGGAAGGTTATGTTCCTATGTTTGTCGTACTATTAGTTTTTATTCATTCCACCATATATTATGCTAAGTTACATTTCATCTTTTATTAGCAAAGATTATACTGTCAAGAATATCATTTTCATATCTATTTAGTAGTAATATACATATATAAGCTTTGTAGACCTACGTCCACATATAATACATGGCACGATACTACGATTTTTTTTTTTTGTTAATATCGTGACTATATCAGTAATTATGTATTATAAAAAATAATTTGCTAGCTATCAAAATACTTTTATATCTTGAATGAAATCTTAACATTGTATACCATTTTAACAGTTGCTATTGTACTCGATCAGGTTTACATAAAAAGCAACATTTTAGAGGAAAGAATTTATAATTTTCTTTTAATTTTCTTTGTTCCAATAGTATAGAGTTATTAGGCTTAAAAAAGGTATCTCGAAAAGCATTAAAATGTATTATATAAATTAATATTATAATTCATGGCTTAATTAGGCCTTAAATTTCTAGTACTGTGCAATGTCTAAGACTGCGGCAAAACATTCTATGGATTTACGTTGCGCTCGCTTGATCAGAAGAAAGATGTAATCTGTCTGCAAGAGGTTTTACATATACCCAACCACCATCTTTAGTTTCTTTGAACAGCTGCGAAGAAACACGATTTTATATAATCATACAAAATATAAAGTTTTAAAAAATGCATACCTTCGTTTGCCAATTAATGTTATTTTCTTTTCTAAGACGAGCTTCTTCTCGTTGTTTCTGTTCAATTGTACATTTAGCAGCAGTGGCTTTTTCCATATCATTAATTCTTAATCCAACCGTAACATCCCGCCAAACTTTTCGCGATTCGTGTTCTTCTTGTTCACAGACTGGTTTTACTAATTTTCTTTGTGTAAGAAGTTCCTTTACATCCGCAAATGTTTCAGTTCTCTATAAAATTAATATTTTCGATAATGAATAATTATCTAAGATATGCAATAATTATAGCAGTACACTTCATACTTACTCCATCAATCCACTTTGCTTCCATAGCACCACTCCACTCTCCATTTATAACAAGAAAAGGTTTTTTCTCTCCTGGTTGAGTAATTTGACAAGTAATTCTGTTACGTTTACCGCCGTAAAAAGGTTTTGTTAAGAATTCTACAGTAGCTTGGAAGCCAGTTTGTGTGCAATGTATAACTGCAGTTCCTCCTAACTCTATCCATGGTACAGTGAGAATAGATCTACCATAACCATTAGGAAAAGTTAAAACGTATTCCTCTCCGTGCTGTAATACATTTACCCAACCTTTCCCTACATTATGTACTCCTATACTCAATCCAAGAAATTTGCTTTTTGTCCATACATGTGCTCCAAAACTAATTTTTTTTGCATAGTGTTCAGCATAAAACGCGCTTACTAGAATAGAAATAATATTATTTCTGTTATAACTAGCAACGTTTCTCTAAAATATAATTATTAATATACTAAAAACTTACTTGGAGGATGATGAGAAACTTGTTCCGCAACAAACGATAGTTGATTTTCTTTACACCAAGGTACAGGACCCTCAACAACTACTTTTGTATCAGTTGAGCTATCTACATTGTCAGTGGGTAAATCCCAATGACATCTAAAAATTTCACCTAATATTGGATTATATGGTTTTTTAGCTACCCCTGATTTGCGACCTGCATGGAAGCTACATAAGTACCAACGAACTACTTGAACCATTCTATCTTTTGGAGTGGGCATATCTGCTATGCTAAAATATACAATACATTACTGTAATGTATAACGTGATATAATTATTTTCATAACTTTTAATAATTTATATTCAATACAGTATATACCTTACAAACTGATCTGGATGGGTGAAATAATCTGCATACATTTCAAGAAGCGACCTGCGCTCTAAAATAAATGTAGGTAATGCTACTTTTGTCAAATCCATGCCAATCTTTACTTGGGATAAAAGATGAGTCACAACGGATCCATGAGATTCCATGGAATCCACTAAAAAGCAATACAGTAGTAAGCAACTGATTTTATTTGATTTTTTAATAATTTCCAAATAATAATAATATTTACTAGAATAATAATTACTAACTTTCTGTTTCACTCTCCTCCTCATAAAGAGCTGTAACATAATTTAATTTGTTAAAAAATTTTATATGTCAAAAAATTAAGAAGTTTATGGAACAAAGTAATAAAGTTATTTTTAATTATCTATACATTTCAATAATGAAAACACAAAAATCATGTATGTAGTATGTTACTTATTTAAAATAAAAGGAAAAAAGTATGAATCAGTTTGAAGGACATCGCTAAGTTTGGAGTATTTTTATCTGTCAAGTGTTTTATGACAATTAAAAAACTTACTCTTTGAATCTGCATCCAGCATATTGTCTTTTTGTAAAATACCAGCTAATATCCATTCCTAAATACTGTCACTGTGCGAAATTGACTATACGCGATATAAAATCTTTTTTCTGAGGAACGAAGTACACAGAAAGGACGAAAATATTCGAGTTTGATAAAAATTTGTTTTTTCTAGCTTTGCCATACTATCAAACATTCAGGCTTGACGTTAAATATAAATTTGAGGACTATTTTACGATACCGTTACGTTAACGCGATAATTCACGTGTTGTGTAAGATGTTCACTAAAATCAATAAGTGTAGTTTGCAGATAAAGTCGACTGGTGCAAACCTGCATTATCGATGCTAACGGGTGAATTTTATTATAAGTATAACACGCGTATCGTTTCATGAAATTTATGAATTATTATAGTTTGATTAATTTTTATTGGCGATTTATTTGATATTATGAATGGTTTAAGACAGATGTAACTTAAGGGAATGGACTCCCGAGCCTTGTATGTGTTCCTTACACACTCACGCAGCTCCACACCACTGTATACGTACACGGAACTGCAAGGGCTTGCGTTCTGTCCTATTTTTGTCACGACAATGCAAATTTGAGTCCTTTCAATAGTCGTTTTCGCTAGATAAATGTTCAAACTTGTGTGCAAGCTCCTATAGGTAGTCTACTTTTGCTCTTTTGTGTCATAATTAATAATAAGCAAGCGAAATTTGATTTCATTTGTATACATTTGTATACATACTCATATTTTTACTTTAATCTTACACACCTTTTCTTAGATCTTTTGCTTCATACCGTATTATTAATATTTACAACATGCATATGTACAGTAGGTAAACATGATGCAGAAAGTATCTTATATTTATTAAATAAAATTGAATTGCAAACTTACTTACCATCATAATCAACTGACCCATCACCTTTTGTTGGTGGTAATGGAGGCTGCTTTCGATTTTCACTGAAACTAGTGTCAACGTTTGCCTGTGATCGTTCGCCATCTCGTCGTCTACTGAAACGTTTAATTATTACTATAAAATTTATCAATATCTTATATTTTAAATTCCATGAAACTAATAACTACTTACACAGCGATATAATTTTGTATCGCAGGAGGTGATATTTCGTCTGCTGCATCGTAATAATCTTCATCTTCATCCGAGGATGAGTAAGAAAATTGCGGTACTGGAAGATCTCTATCTACAACAGCTTTACAAATAAAATATCGTAAAAATATATATTTTAGATTTAATTTCTACTTTACTACACGTAAGCAAGGAAAAACCGATTACCATTTGTCAATACAGGTACCCTTGGTTCTACACACTCGGAACCTAGTTCAATTCCAGTTTGAACAACTGCCTCTGGTTCTCTAGCTGCAACTAAAATTCAACACATTACAAATTTGTTAACAAAAATACATTTTATCTACTACATTCAAGTAATTACCATGATCTAAAGCAGATGAAACGTGTATTGAATCAGTAGGTCCCCTGTATATACCATTTACAGGTATTGCTGTATTCTAAAAGTATTGTATTAGTGAAGCACATTTAGTTAAGCAAAAGAAACAAGTTCAAATAATTATCATACGTACTACAAGTGAGATAAAATGGACTCATAATTATGTTTAATTTTTACCTTTGCAATTTGCAATTGAACTATTGTATGCTTCACAGAATTAAGTAAAGCATTGGCTTGGGTTAAAACTACTGTATACTTTTCCTGCTTTTCATCGTCTTCTTCAGCAGCAGTTTTCTGTTTTGTTTCAATTAATTTTATTTGGTCGATTAATAATTGAAGATAAGCATCTGCTTCAGCTACTTTGCGATCAAAGTCTTGTCTAGGTGGAGATTTTTTAGGATCCCATCTCTGAAATAATAATAAATCCCATTTCGTTACATAATTTATAAAGACATGAAAAAAAGAATTAGGTCATTTAAATGAGATACAAATCACATACAGCATGTGAATGACGTAATATAGTATCTTCCAAAGCACGAATCCAACGTTCTCTTTCCTCTGCATTCCGTGTTTGAAAATGAAAAGTTTTGGGATCATCTTTGTATGATGATGTAGTAATTGTAAATGTGCTATCATCTTCGTCATCTATACCAATAATAGCACCTCTTAAACGAACACATCCTCTACGTGCTCCTCTCATCATTTTTTCTTTACTCTGAAATTCAATAAAAATCAAAGTCAGTATTATTGCATAACATAGCATTGGAATTAATTGTAAAACATAAATTAACTGAAAAAACTGAGCCAAAACCAATACATTGAAACTAAAGGAAATGTTTGTCAAAACCACACTAGTAGTTATCTCAAATCAATTTCATTTACAAAGTATGTTCACAGGTATTAGAAATAATTCCTTTATGTAAATAATTATAATACATTAGATGTTAATGATTAAAGTATACAATTTATAACATAAAAATATTTATGTCAATATTAAATTTATTCTTCAAACTTGGTTTATCCTTATAATGTACATTTAATAAATATATCTTTAATACGAAATTTCATAATTTTGAATTCAGAAATCAGCTGATTATGACAGATACACAAACTGGTTTAAAAAAAACTAAAGTTAAATACTAAAGAATACAGTCAACGAACAAACAAGTAAATCGTATTAAACAGTGTACGATACATTTGAAATTTTAATTGAATATTACTCATATTTTTTGGAAAAGAAATAGGGTGTAACCTGATAGTGACACGTAAAGAATAAGTATGAAACACTATGATCGTAGAATTAAAAATACTTTACCGTGTAATATGATAAAAGTCCAGCATTATCGTCCAAAACAAACCACCGATATTGCCATCCGTTAACAACGTTTGTCCATTTACTAAGCGAACCTTCCATCGTCGACATTGTTATTTGTTGCACACTGTTATCTGCGAATGGATAAATATGCATGCATATATATAATATGCATGCATAATACGTGTTTCTGTACGAATCTATAGAAAGGTAACTCTATAAGAAGAAGATTAACGTAAGACGAATTTTCAAATAAGTGTTACTCGTGAGTAAGTTCGTCATTTGCAGATACACAAAATATCACGTTTAAATTGCATCAATTTATCAATAGTAAGTAATCCAATTTGAATTCATTGCCGCAGATCTTTCTTTCGTTGAAGTGATCTCGCTTGATAAAAAAAAAAAAAAATCGTTTGACCGGCCTGCTATCCTTCTAGTTACTTCCTGTAGTCTACTATTATGAAAGATTCTGTTACGAAAATAATATATTAACAATTACAGTGTAGAATAGGGAGAGTCGCGTGAAAATGGTTAAGAGTACGTTAATGCAACAACTAACTTTTTATGTAGATCGAAGCTAATCGAAATAATTTCTAATAAGTAAATGAAATATTTCGAATTCGGATAAATATTGAGAAACGAAACAAACACATATTCGATTTAATAGCTCAAAAACGTTCAGGCGAGTATTATACGTGCCCAGTCAGCTGATTAATTGTTTTTTCACTAAAAACTGACGCATGGCAAGTGTGTAGTGTACCCACATCATACGATTGTATATCAATGAGAAAAAGAACGGTGGCAAATAAATTTTGCGGAATCTGTGAATGTGTTTAATACGTGTTTTGTAAATATGCATGGCATTCTATAGTTGCCATTTATACGTTCAACGAATTATATTTTAAGTTACCTTGCGAAAATTATCTTGGAGGCATGACATTCTAAGATAAAGAAAATACAGTGGTGAAATGAATGATTTTTAAAATGATATAGAATGTTATGTTATTCTATTTAACATTGTGCATATGTGACATGAAATACCATACATTTTAATGACATACAAGTTTGGATAGTGATCTGGTAAACTCTGACTCAAAACATAGAAGTAATTACAGCAAATTATAATCTTTTTTTTTATAGTAGAATATAATTGAATTCGTTTTCTGATTTATTATTTCATTATAAAAGTCATCTAACTAGTTTTATACTTTAGTAAAATTGTACATTAAGATCAATTATAATTTAATACGTCTTTAATTTAACAGTACTAAGTAAACATGGAGGAGAAGCATGGTTCAAGTGTATTGGAAGACGAAGAACTAGAAGAATCTGAAAATATAATAATAAATGAAGTGGATGGATTACCAAATGTGCATCCTAATTACCAGCAGCTAGAATTAGAATTTGATGTAGGAAAAGGTCATAGCGATACAAATGCAAGATCTATAGAAGACTTAGTACACGATGAAGATTTACCAACATCTGTTATTGTAACCAATGTAGATCCTCGGGTTTTTAAAAGTGATGAATTGAAGGTAATAAAAGCATCTCATCCTCTGCATATTGGAGCCATGAATGTGTATCTAACACAATGGATGTACTTTAAATCTTCTCTTTATAGCATGAAATAGAAGATCTTTTTAAGGAGTTTGGGGAAGATGCAACATTTCAGTATTTTAGATCATTTAGAAGAATGAGAGTAAACTATAGTTCTCCAAATGCAGCTGCAAATGCAAGGGTACAACTACACCAAGCTCACTTTGGAGAGACCGATATCAATTGTTATTTTGCACAACCTGTTACGCCAATAGGTTTGTAAAAATATATAGGGTGAGCTAACATTGATTTTGATTGATTAAAACAATTTTAGCTCACTCTATATTTTATACTATAAAAATTGAAATTAATTTTATTAATAATAAATACTACACGTTTCACAGACATGGAAGACCAACACCTCCAGCCACCAGCACTTACTAAACAGTTCCTAATTTCACCACCTGCTTCACCACCTATTGGTTGGGAACCCAGAGAGGAAAGCGAACCTTTAGTTAATCATGATTTATTAGCAGCTATAGCAAACTTATCTGCAGGTCCATACATTTAAATCATTTTTTTAATTTTTCCTGTGTAAACAATCGATTACACGATTGATTTTGCAGGAGGTAGTCACGAGTTGCATCCTGGAGGTTCTGGACAACCAGGCATTGTTGTTCACGTTTGTGAGACGGCAAATCCTGTGAAAAATGCTCCACGTATACAACATACACGTTGCCCAGAACATTCGTAAGCAGCTCCGCTAGAAATATTGTCCATTCTATGACAATGAGTTATTTATCCATCCAAGAAGCAGTTAGATGCATTACAGACAGTGGCATTCAACACTCTAAAGTTTTAATTGCTATATTGCAAAATTGACATTTCTTGTGGCATTAGTGTCATATGAAATGATTTGTAAATGTTTTTTGCTCAGGCCAATACAGTGAGTATTTCATAAAAATAATGGAGATAGAATATAAAATCTACTCTGATACATTGTCACAAAAATAATCTCTGTTTTCAGATAAATAATATTATTTTTTGCTAATAATGCAAACAAAAATATATATCATAAAAAAACGTGATATAATGAAATAGCTTAAAAATCATTGAATAATTACTAACGTACAAATAAATCATTAGACAGAAATACTGCACATATTATTTCCGAATAACTTTACAGTTGTTCTTAAGTTCTTTTTCTTCGAAAAAAACAAATAAAAGTATTAGAAGCTTATTTATCATTGTAAAATCTAATAAAATTAACATTAATGTGTCAAGAATAAAAAGTATTAAAATTAGCGATATCAAAGTTGTACATTGAATTATTGATGTTGTATTCTCACAGAAGATACATAAAATTTAAGGATTTAGAAAATATCAAATTAATTATTTCGAAATGTGCAAATAAATTAGCTCGAAGGATACAAAATGGACGTGTGTGCAATGAGTTTAATAAGGGCAATTATAAACATTGATGTATATTTAATGTACATACATGTGACTGTGAGTGTATATCATGTGAACGCATGAAAATTGGTGTTACCAAGGTTATTCTTTATTAGTTTTTAATTAATCTGTACTAAAATCGAAACGATAAATACTTTTTTCCTCTAAAGAATGTTAACAATTTTGAACTATGAATAATTGATAAAGGAATTATAAATAGCGTTGTTTCACTTAAAGAACAACTCAATGCAATTAAAAATATACATATTACTCGCGATATGTCAGTGTTACTGTTTTATCACAACAGTAATGAGTATGTATATGTATATATAAATGTATATATTGTTCCCACTCATATGAAATATCTATATTTCATGTTGGTGTAAAATTTAATCTACTATAAAGCTGTTAAAAATTTATAACTATGTTATAGTAAATTACTTTTGTGTGAATAAATACGTTACCAGAAATTTAATTTTTGTAAGTGAATCTCATGTATACAAACTGAAAAGATTTCAGAACATTTTTGTTAAATTATTTAGTTTAAATTACTCTGTATTAAATGAAATGTTTTAAAAAAAATATTTCTTCGTTTTTATTTTCGTTATCATCCTAACGAGAAACTTTGGGAAGAATATAACCAGCAATAAAATATATCAGAAAAATATAAAAAAATCTTGTTTTTTTTAATTCAGAGATTATTTACTTTTACACTTGTCATTAGCTTAGTGAAATAATATAAAAGCTTTATACACATAGACATTATTAGTAGTGTTAAGTCATCGTCACATAGTTCATGATACGATCGTGCGAAATTCTTTCAGCACAAGGATTATACATTGGATTATTATTCTAATAAAACGAATCTGAATTTATTTAATGCCACATTTACATGTGTTGGTATAGGCCATTGATTGTATGCTTTCTTTATATGTATTTTCATTTAATTAAAGTTTTTGTAGACGAAAATACATATTTAGTTGAATTTAAAAAATTACGACGCAATATAAAATAGAATGCAAAAAATGTTACACGAAGAAAGTTTTGTAGTTAGTAGTATTTTTACAACTGAGGAAAATTGATAAAAATCAACAATACTTGACAAATATGTACACATACAGTAAATCAACACACACGCGCCTACATCATTTATGTTTCGATATATTACGTTGCGTAATGTACGTACAGTGGGTGAAACAAGTATAATGAGGTACTTGAGGCACACTCGAGCGGTTTGTTAAGCGATACCCTTGCTGAGTACAAGCAGTCGAATAGGTTTTCTTTCTATTAAAAAGTTGTCTGTTGACTATAAGGTTATACTTAATGGACTTTGATTCATTTTTATTTCTTTATCATATTTTCAAGAAAAAGATTTTCTTGTAAAAGTTGCATGGTACCATTTCTTTGGAGCATTCAGATCGTTACTAGCATCCAAAAAGAACCAGTGCAAACTCGTCTCTGAACTTTCGATATCTTATATTCAAGAGCATTCAAGAGTACTACTGCCTTCGCTCTCTAAAGTTTTTATGACATCACTAAATTCATACCACCCACTATACATACTATGTACATACATATACGTATATGAACACTATCGTCCAAGATTAAAAGTGTCTCTGGCAATTATATTTAAAATTATATGGAATCATCTTTAAGAGCATGTAAGTATTTTGGGCATCCTTTGTTCCTAGCAATAGAGTAAAATAATTGAATTCAATAGAAACATACATTTTAACACAGGCGTCGTAAACTAGACTAGTATCTTAAAATTTGTTTAAAATCGATGATAAATTTTATCATATGGAACATTGCAGTAACGTTTTTGCTTAATGATGTACATACATAACCAACCACAGTATCATATTTAATTACAATTTAAGAACGATATGACTTTGTATGTTGGTAGTAATTTTTCACTTCAGAGATGTGTTTTTTTTCCTTTGTGAACGTGTTACAAAAACATTAAATATCTTTCAATTACATTATGATTCTTTGAGCATACACTTTCATACACAAAAACTGAATTTTTTATAAAAATATAATATTAATCATAAGAATTTGAACAATCTTGTACGTATGTGTAATCCCAATTTATGACATGTATACAAAAGTGTTTATGTCGTCGTCGTGTCTGCGAATATATTTATGTTCTATGAGCCATTCAATTTGTTCTTTTATCATTTTTTTACTTGGCAAAAACATGTTCTTCAATATATCAACTAATTCAGTTTGCAACTGAGCGTTACTAATCTTCTTACGCATCTTTAGAATCTTGATGATTGCTTCCTGTTAGAAGAAATGTGCGACTTATAAATTTTACTTGACAAGAACGAGGTTATGTATTCGAATGTAAGACATACCTGAACCCTTAATATTCTAAGTTGTACAATGGATTGGTTGTCTTCTTCTTTACTTCGTTCAGTTGACAATTGAAGTCTTCCTATCAAATTAATTTTACCTCGTTTTTGTAATTTTCCATTTTTTCTGCAAATTAAAAATAAAGATTAACGGTGTACATTTTAATATCAAATTTATTAAATATAATACTAACACAATGGCAAATTCTTGGTTCACCCAGAACCTCGTGTCATTCGCAAAGTCTTTGGGACTGTGCGCGTGTGGTTCTACTAAGAGAAGTTGACGTTTGAGTTTCGGGAAAGCGCATAGGGACCATAAAGTTCGTCTCAGTTCGGGATCAGGCAGTTCTGTAGCCAATCGTAAATTTTCATAAGATATCCTTTCGAATGGTCGCTGATTCCAAGCGAATAAAACAGCCATTTGAAAAGTCGTTACGTCCACATCGAAGCGTCCCACTTGGTTGGAAAATGTAATCTGGAACACCATCCAAATTGGTTGCAAGGTGAAGCTGAAAATTAGAACCGAGATATTGAATTTTTTGAAAAGTTCTATTCGATACCCTTGTTTACCGCATCAGAAAAATTTATCTTATTCTGTTTCGATAAATGTATTTAATTAAAATTACATCGATATTTCTGTATCTGTATAGAGGTTTTCTTTTAATCCATAAATGTTCTTCATGAACGTAAAAATAGCCGTCCTAACATTTTCTGACATTTTCTTTCTTACCGTGCCATTGGACATGTGATGATACCACTGTAATTTGCGACCGCTATGTTTTTTCTTATAAAATTCCTCTACTTCGGGAATATAATCTTCTAATTGTAACGGTAAACTTACAGTGACGCGTTCACTGCCTCTAGCCCATGCACCTGCATTTAATATCTACAGAAAATTATATTCATTCAGTACCTATTTCATGGCATATATACCACAATGCCTCATCTATTATAGCTAGTACCTTAATATTTATACTGTCCGCAATAGCAGCCCTACACTGTTCTTTGAATTGTTGATTAAGATCTTGAGATACTTTAATGTCTTGAAACATTCGGGCCAATTTATTAACATAATCAGCAGGCATTCCAACTTCACGAAGCCATTCAACCATATTCTCCTCTTTCTCAGAGTCCGCGGATGTATCTAATATTAAGCGGCGCGTTAAATGAGCTTTATGATAGCGCATAAAGACATCCTTATTTTGAACATATTTTAACACTAATAACTGAAAAGAAACCAATAAAGGATGTATAAGACATGAACTATTGTTTAATATTCTAAATCTGTGGAATACAGTTAGTTGAAAAAATACTTACGACATCTCTCAACTTGCTCTCAATTTCATCAGAAGTTAACTTTTTACTTAACGGAGTTTTTCTAAGTAACATATCACAGTAGTTAGCGAGAAGTTCTGGACATTTTGATTCTGGCTGCCCATTGTTATTGTTGTTAGGTTTGTTATTTAAAATCGTTGTACCGATACCAGAGCTTTGGCGAGCTGGTAATTCTAGTCTGAATACTGTTGCATCGTTTACAACAAGTTTATAAGCTTTATCTCGAGCAGTTAGGAAACGAGGGTCATCGTCGAATGCTTCCTTTACGAGGGTTGAGAATCGACGAAAAAGGTCTAATAGTCTTTCAACATATTTTTCAGAATCTTGCGTAATGACATCGACGGCTGCCATCATATCAGCCAAACCTGCGCTTGCTATATGTTCTTCTAAATTTCTTAACATTGGACCAACACCTTCGGGTACTCTGTCCATTAGCTTTAACATTAGCCTAAGTTCTATAATTATAATATATCCAATATCATTATCGTAGAAACACTACCGAAACATGGCGACAAATAAATGAAAATATGCTCACGATCCGTTTGGTGATGTTGAATCATTCTTGGGCATTCCGCTAATATAGCTGGCTTAAAAGTTGCTACTAACACACGTACACAACAATCAGTTAAAAGCTGTACACTTGCACTGTTTGGTTCTAAATATTTTTGAGCACGAAGTTCTTCTTCTCTCAATTTTGCTTCTGCATACCGCATGTAATTCTCTACACCGTGTAACGACAATTGATCTGGTGCTTTCACCCAGTAGAAAGCTTCTGTTGCTTCTATATATGCTGCTTCAAAGTTTTCTCTGTAGATTTGTAGCTGATCCGTTGTATTTGAACATAAATTTACTGCAATTTGTAGTAAAATCATGAATATGTAATATGACTTAGAATATATATCTTGTATCTTATACATAACCAAAACAATTATTACCATAAGATTCTCTAACACCAATAACAAGTTGTGAATCAAATGCTTCACCATTCCTTTCAGCACGAATAAGTCGCATAGCTGAGTCCTGTAGTTTTTGTTTTATTTCTCCAAATATACTTTGGTTCCAACTATCCAACATCAACTATAATAAAAGCAAAGTATTATGAGATGATATACATTGTGGAACTTGCAAATATATAATTAAGTGTTACCTTTCTGACTATATCATCCGGCTGATTTCTTTTCTGAACACTGGAAGTTGTTTTCCCAGCAAGATATGTTTCTAATTGTCTAAAAGGTGTTGGTAAATAAATACACTGAGTAAAAAATTTCCTCCATTCTGTTATATATGCTTTTAATAAAGCTTGTTCTTCTTGATGTGCTAATACCCTCTATAAAAAATATAAAATAATAATTTATGCTTCTTCAAAGAATACATATGTTGTACAGCTTAAAATTATATTTTATACCTGCTGAGCTTGTTTTATGAAATCCATTATATCTTCTTTAAGTGCATCTCGTAACTTGGGAGGACCTTTTTCATCCCACAAACATACCAAATGAACAGAGTAAAATAAATCTTGCCATTCCGCTTGAGTTACAGTTTCTTGCTTCAATAATTTCAAAATGATTGGACGCATACATGGCCACTTATCTTCAAACGTGAATTGACTCTTATCCTAAGCATGTAATTGTATTAAAGAAACTAAAGGAACACAGTAAATTAAATGTTACACTTATGTATTCATTAAAACATGTATTTAACGCAGGAAAAAATGTACCACTTGGTATGAATTTTCAAATATTTATAGCAATACTTGTTAGTGGATTATTAAATGAACAGAGGATGTAAATCACGATAAACTGTTGATCTGAAAAATGATTTGATTGATTAGTGACCTGTGATTTAATTTAAAAAGAAAAATGTGCACTAAGAAGAAAACCAATAATAATACGTTTACGTATATTTATTAGTTTATATTTATTACATTTATAGTTTACCAGATACGTTTACGTATATTTAATGCAAAATTATACATGTATCTGTAATTGTATATTTTAATACGTTTTTTGACAATTCGAACATTGCACAGGTTATCAAGATTTACATATTATCAGTCAGTACAAAGGAATGCAATATAAAGCATTAAAAATTATAAAAATTACGTTGGCACGTGTACATCAATATAAATCGACTTTAATTACAAATTGCGTTATTTAATGACAACTAACCTTTAACATCGTCGCCATCACAAATTTTTGACATGTCCTATACCACAATGCGACTAAGCCAATGAGTATACATCGTACTGTGAACTGATTAATCGTAAAGACTAGAACACAGTCCAATACAGTCAAAATGTTCTTAATTTACAGTCTCATACAATTTTTTTATCGTTAAAATGTATTTATTTTCGTATAATATTTTTGTACACTTTAAGAATGATTAAATGATATTTATATTTAAAAATTACTTCTACTTTTCTTTCAACAGGATTCTCTAGTATCTAGGATGTCAATTTTAAATTCATAATAAAAAATGTGTTTATTCCTGATTGTTTTTGTATATCTAATTTTATAATAATAACATAAATATGTAGAGGAATTTAATGTAACTATGTAAATAGTATTTAGCATGCTGTATTAAAAAAATTGTTGTGTAAGTTATACATAAAGAGTTGTTTTTTCAAGTTTTTAAATGTTTTATATGACGTTAGTCGTTACCACGATATTATTTATAATCAGTAATGACTACTGTAAGTACACGTGGAAATAATGAGAGTGGGGAGCAAACATAACTGTCTATATACACGTTACGTATGTATATACAACTGAAATTATTTTAATACTCTTCGCGGGCCTAGAAGTAAGTTGAATAAGCATCGTTAAATAATATCCAGACAAAAACAGTTAAATAAAAAAAAATCACCTGCGTGTCACGAAATATTTGATACTTTATTACGTCGTCAACATCTGCTTGTTTCTTCTCGTTGTATTTTACATTATTAGTGGTATTTCTTCCAAAATTTATTCATATTATACAATTCGTGTTATACAATCGAAAGTTATACGTGTATCAATATAATTATACTAATACGGTTTAAAGAAAGATATGTTCATGATGGGTTGACGTGGTGACCAGATGTTCTGGAGAGTGCTGGAGAGCATAAACCGCCCATCAAGATAAGAAGTAAAGTCATTCCTGACTTTTACCGTTGTATCGATATTTTATGAATGCACGTAGTGAAATAAAACAATTTCATATTTGTGTAAGCATATATGAATTTATGTATGTAGAGTAGTGTTGATCGATAAACGACACATTAAGAACGTCAATGACGTTTGCTTTCGGCAGGAAGATTTACGTTTCAGGCGGCACGTAATCTGGCCGATGTCATCAAAAGTGGAAAACGCGTATTATCGTCGCGGTGCCGCGCGATAATAATTTATTATCGGATATAAACGTGATTGAAGAATATACCAGTGAGCTCAGTTATGAGAAGACATCCCAGTGGAATCATGTTTAGCGGTCTAATAGTGCTTACGTTGCTTTTACCTTCTATTGTACATAGCAATTATTTCGCAACGAACAATGATAAAAACGACCAGTGTTTTTGTAAGGTACTGTTTCCCTTGTTATCCCCGTTATTCATATTTTCTATAGTTAAAATAATGAACATAACCTCCTGGACCGTGTCACAGCTGTCAGATTTCTATGTATACACACAACGCGTTGGTACAAGCTTGTACAAGCTTTCATGAAAATTTATTGCCAACATTTTAGTTAGTCAATTGTATGGCTCTGGATATCTATAATAAATTTATGTAAATATATTTTTATTTAATAGTTTGGGTTAACAATGATAAAAGATAAAAATTTTAGTTGAAGGGTTCTGTCGATGACTGTAGCTGCAATGTGGATACAGTGGATTACTTTAATAATATGAAGATTTATCCAAGACTACAGAGCCTTCTAGTCAAAGATTATTTTCGTTTTTATAAAGTAAATTTGAAACAGAAGTGTCCCTTTTGGACTGATGACAGCAAATGTGCTATGAGATATTGTCATGTACAGCCATGCCAAGATGTAAGTGTTTAACGAATTAACAAGTATATGTAATTTTTATAAATGCAATATTAAGTACTATTTTGTTAATAGGAAGACATTCCTGATGGTTTGAAAGGGGATAATATGCTAAGAAACATTCACTTTAATGAGAGTCCTGTGGATAAATATAAAGCCAGAGCTCAGTTTGATGACTGCCTACGCAGAGCTCAAGATCATAATAAAGAACTTGGTTATTTGAATACAACAATTAGGTAAAAAATATTCACAGATTTTCATATACATTCAATATTTGTGCTTAAGATCCATTTTTATGTTTTTTCTTCAGTACAGAAAATTATAAAGACTTTGAATTGTGGAAACAATATGATGATGCTCAAGATAACTTTTGTGTGAAAGAATCTAGTCCTGGAGAATATGTGGACCTTTTGCTTAATCCTGAAAGATACACAGGTTACAAGGGACCTAGTGCACACAGAATATGGCACAATATTTATATGGAAAATTGTTTTAGGTATGTATTAAAGTAATGTAATGAATTGAGTCTATTTCTGTACATACATTTGATTTCAGACCTGAAAATTCACCTCATAATTTTATTCAATCTTCAAAAATAAATGGTATGTACTTTTAATCTAGTATCACCTTACTTTAATTAAAAATGTTAGCTCACTGAAATTGTATTCACAATATATCATTATAGGAATGTGCTTAGAAAAAAGGGTTTTTTATCGCGTTATATCAGGCCTTCATGCTAGTATCAATATACATTTGTGTTCAAAGTATTTACTATCATCGCAAGATAATTTAGGAATATTATCTGCTACCCAGTGGGGACCCAATTTACAAGAATTTCAGAAAAGATTTTCTCCAGATAAAACTGGAGGTGAAGGTCCAAATTGGTTAAAAAATTTGTACTTTACTTATTTACTTGAATTAAGAGCTTTAGCTAAAGCAGCACCATATTTAGAAAGGGAAGAATATTATACTGGTAACAAAGTACAAGATACGGATACTCGTCTGGCGATAAATGATATTTTAAATGTCGTCAAGTAAGTTCAATTAGACAGAATTAATAAATAAACTTAATTAAATACTGTTTTATATTAATTCTCATACTTTCTTTAGATCATTTCCAGAACATTTCAACGAAAGTGTAATGTTTACTGGTGGAGCTGAGGCTCAGTTGTTAAAAGAACAATTCAGACAGCATTTTAGAAATATTTCTCGTATTATGGATTGTGTAGGATGTGACAAATGCAAGCTATGGGGAAAACTCCAAATACAAGGCTTGGGTACAGCATTAAAAATTTTATTCTCAGGAAAGTTTGATAGATGGAAGCCAACGTTACATAATTTTAGTAAGAAACAATTTTTCTTGGAAAGAAGCGAAATCGTTGCCCTTATAAACGCAATTGGGAGGTAAGGATTATTTTTTCAAACTTTCATTTTTAAACAATTATTGATATAAAGTATGATTTATAATACTTCAATTTCGCAGATTATCAGAGAGTATCTTTGAGTTGGATAAATTTCGACAAATGATGAGATAACAAAGTAACAATGAGTAATTAGATGCTTAAGTTATTACAGCAATACACATCACACAAATTAACTGATATAATTTTTATTTATATAATAAGTTTGTTAAATGACCGATTTATATTGGTTATGTATTATTTTTAAAACTTATATCGGTTATCAGAATAGGTATAAAGTCGCAATAAAAATTCTCTAACTGTTTATTATAAAAATCAATTTAATTATTGTTTTATTAAAGACAATTATTACAAGAAATCCATTAATATTTTTATAGTTCTATTTTGATTTACGTATTCTACGTCATTGGTTAAACGAGTAAGATGTTGCATGATTCATAGGTCGAATTATCGGTCTCAAATGTTTTAATATTTTTTGAACCATAATCTAGAAAGAAATTCCAACATACATAATAATTTTTTGCATTCAAATTTTATTGCGATTTTAATAATTTTGACTCCGTCTGTGATAAACAGTTTGTCGTTGGAAAAGGTTATACTCCTTATACTAGTTTCGAAAATAGCTTACGTACAATTTCAGTTTTATGCAAGTTCTACCATTTTTTAGAAACTTAATGAACCTCTTATACTTGCATCAGTACCACTTCCGTAAATAGATTAAATTTGAAAAATTGTAACTTATTTTAAGTTAGTTTTCATTTGAACTCTAGACAATTTCAAATGTAATTGCTAATATTTTGTTGTTAAAACACAATGTTAATTGGGAATATTTTAAAGAAAATTAATTATAATGCGTTCTACTTAACGAGACATTACACGTCATAACAATTACTCAGGGGTAATCAGTTTTGTATAATAATGGACATGGGTGTATAATCTTTTAAAAAACCTTATATTCCACTTTTTATATTATTGCTACAGTGAATACGACGTAAAGTACGATATTATTTTCCGATAAATTTACACACGAAAAGAAACGCCAGTGTATCATATTTCTATATACTATTTCATAATAATTTATAAAATATTTAATACTGTTGTATATACGTGTAAACCTAATTTATTGACAAATCGCCAAATTGTACGATTTAGAGATTATAAAAGAACCATGCCTACTTTAGTCTTTTTATGAAATATCTAAAAACATTTCCTTTAGAAGTATAGATAGTTATCGCTTAATAAATAAGAGCACATTAATTACAACCTTGAGATTACACAAAATCGTGTAAAGCTTATACAATTTGATTAGATAAATTGATACACTTGAGAAAACTTTGATTAACTGTTCATTGACATCAGGTGTTACTCCTTCAAAAAGAACACTTATAACCATTTAAAGCAAATGCTCATTTATTTTCACCAATTCAATAATAATAGAAAAGTACAGAGATAGTTTTGTACACAAATTAAAGGAACGCGTATAATTGTATTTATGGACTATTTAACCGTTGAATGGAAAAAACGCAACTGCGTTCATTGATTACATTTCTTCTGTTTCATTATTCTGGACTCTTTAAATTTGAAAATAGCTGATGCGAGACGGTTGTACAGTTAAATTTATTCGCTATTTTCCATGTAATTAAAAGTAGGCCTATTGCAGCACTCGTTTGGCACTATTCACATAGTTCTCGTGTCCACCTCCACCACTCAAGCGGTAAATATATTTTCAAGTGATGTACTGTAGTTAGAAGATACAGTATGTATACAATATTTATATAACCACTAAAGAATACTTAAATAGGAGTAGTATCAGTTTCAATGTACTTATAATTGACATGTTTTTTTTTTCATTGTACAAAGTATACAAAATTATGAACTTAGTGTATATTGTATAATAGATGTGGTAGACTATATAGTAGAACGTATCTTATGAAAAATTGTTCACATATAAAAGGACTCAATAATTTTTTAATCGAAATATGTTTATATTTTTAATAACATTTAATATCATATAGATTAAATATTTGCTTCTTTGTAAACATTCTAATAAGTAATTAAGCAACATGTATTAATCTTATTTGTTTTTAACTATAATCGAGTATAAAGGCAAAATAATCATACAAAGATCATGCCTAAGCTTGGCTATTTGCGTAAGCCTTTACGGAATGTCTTATGAACGTATTATATTATATCTTCATACATGAGAGATATCACTGTCCATTATTAGATTTGATTGAGTTTTTGTAATTACATTACTAGACAGTTTATACGTACATGGAAAACAGATGCATAAGATTTTAAATTTAGCGTTGGCATCATAAAATTCATATAACTTTCTTGGTAGAAAGAATGTAGCTCCAAGATAGACAAGAGTAATTCTAGCAAAACACAAAAATGTTTTATATTTTAAGATTAAATACCATTCCCAGGAACTGTTCATAGTGAATTGTAATGACACCATCCAGGTCTGTGTCTAATTGTCTAAAAGCAGCAGTTAGTGTCTGTAAAATTAAAAGAACAAACAATATAAATTCTATTAAAAATGAAACATGATATTGAATTTTTAATATATTTATACTTACATATAAAACTATGCAACATTGTATGAAATCATCAAAGTATATAGTTCCACGGCCAGCACGATCATATTTACGTATCAGTGTATCTATAATTTGGTCTGATAGTCGATATCCAAAATTGATAAGTGCTGTTTTCAATTCATTCCGATCTATATTTCCACTGTTATCCCGATCAAACGACCGGAAGCAATTTTGCCAATCGGTTACATATTTCCACAGAGCCCCAAACTCCTCAAAACTGACAGTTCCTTTTTGATTTTTATCAAACATACCTGGGGAAGCAGGATCATTTTTGTCAATGTCAAACATACCTGCACCAATAAAATGACCCACAAATGTATTAATAATAATAAAAGACCATGCAAATTTACTTGGAATTTACATATATACTACATATATGCATTTCTATTCATAATATTACATTATTAAATATATCATTTCAAATGTCAGTAATATAAATTATTCTAGATTTATATTAATTCACATGGTCATTTGAAAGCATATAACATACAAATATTTACCAATCATCAAACGAACAGTTTCTGGATTAAAAGGTGTCCAGGTTCCATTTGAAAGAGCCTGTTGTAATTCATCCGCAGTAATTGCGCCAGATCTGTCTTTGTCCACTCTTTAACAATTAACCAAAATTAAACATTACGAGTTATGTTCTACTTATGCTATTAAATATATCGAAATATTCATTTAATGCTTAATATATACAAAACGATGATTTGTATATGAACATATGAAATCGTACAAATAAATAAATACAACAAAAATAAATTTTAAATTACCTTTGAAAAACGTCCCAGAGAAACTCACGACTAGGCATGGGCGATGTAAAAGACATTTTTCAATTAACGTTTGTTGCCACAAAATATAAAATCAACTGTAACTACGCCGGTTATATTCCTTGATAGTATTTCACAACTGACTATTTTGAAAATCACCAGACATGTAATTTGCGGAATTGCAAACAATGTCATGCACACGTCACTTCTTCGGAAACTGTGACGTACTAAGACGACAAGACGTGTTACTAGATATCAGTGTTGCCAGTTCCTAAACTGCGAAAGTCGCACCATTCATTAGTGGAATATTACCGTAAACTAGCGCCACCAACGAAGAGTATATGAACTACTAAATAGTAGACGGACTTGGACGGACTTGCGCTTCAATCAGCTTCAATTCGAGTCATAACCTATAAAGTAGTATATATAAAATGTAACAACAGTATATACATATGCGGTGGACGTTGCAAGTGAATATATTACATGAAATTATCAATGTAAAATATGAATCATTGCGATTGAATCGCAGTATTCATGAGCATAATCTTGAGAAAGGGACGTAATAGAGGTGCTATAACCTAGTTTAATTTGTTGGACATCATGACACTTACTCCCAAAGGGTTGACAAAATTACTGGATATCCTCGAAGAGGATAACCTTGATACGAGTTTGGAAAACCTGTGCAACCAATTACATCAAGTATTTCCAAAAGAAAGTCGGTTTAAAGTAGGAATGACATTAGTTCTACTTTTACAACACATAGACCTATTGCCGAAAAATGTTCAACGTATAATAGCAGTAGCGTTATTGTTCGATCTTTATAGAGGAGAACCATTGGCTTCTACGCCTTTTGCACCTGTTTTTATTCAGGTGTTAAAATCACAGGATGACACAAACAATGGTGTACCGAAAACAAACTTCTCTGGACACATACCAGTGTTGTCTCAATGTGAAAAAAACCTCTTAGTAAATTTATTGGGATATAATCAGAAGGATATTTTAAAGAAAACTCCAAGACAGATTGTGGATGAATTATATTTTGTGCCTGTGCCACCAATTGATTTGAGTAACTTGCAAGTACAATTAACAGAAAGACATTCAGAACTACCTTCCATTGCAAAATGTGGAAATCCAGTGATATTACCTGACATGGATCACTCTAAAGTAACAGAGATTGATAAAAATACTACAAAAACTATGACAGAACTCTTAATTACTAACGATCGTCCATTATGCAGTCAAAGCTATCGTCCTGAATTTCTAAGATTGGCACCTCCTCTTTATCGGTCTGTTGATGAACTACCATGGTTTAATGTCACAGAACCTTTTCAATTTACAATTGAATATGATAACAATATGTGTGTCTCAAATTGTGCTGGTGCAGAAGCTCGCAGGTTAATGGGTAAAGCATTTAAAAGTGTACTGACACTGCAACAACAGCAACATCTTGTCAACGAGTTGGATAGAGATCCAAAATTGGTGTATCACATTGGTCTTACTCCAGGAAGATTACCAGATTTGGTGGAAAATAATCCTTTGATTGCAATCGAGGTTTTGTTAAAGCTTATGCAATCGAGTCAAATAACAGAATATTTCAGTGTTTTGGTAAATATGGAGATGTCGCTCCATTCTATGGAAGTTGTTAATAGATTAACCACTACTGTTGATTTACCAACAGAGTTTGTTCATTTATATATTAGCAATTGTATTTCTACGTGTGAAACTATAAAAGATCGCTATATGCAGAATCGTTTAGTACGGTTGGTTTGTGTTTTTCTACAATCCTTGATAAGGAACAAGATTATAAATGTGAAGGAACTTTTTATTGAAGTGCAAGCATTTTGTATCGAATTTAGTCGCATCAGAGAAGCTGCAGCTCTTTTTCGTTTGTTGAAACAACTAGAGTCTGGTGATATTGGTGGTCTTAATGCACCACCTACAAATACTAAATTGGATATGTGCTAATGTAATTAACATCAAAGTCTTGAAGTACTTGACAATAGATTGATAGATTTTCAATGTTTATAACTATTTTCCTGTTTAATTAAATTTCATTGAAGGATGTAATGTAGCATTTCACAGTGTATTATTGAAAGTGAACTTTGTAAATTTAATCATATTTTATATATAGTTTTGATATGTGTAAGTAAATTATTGACTGTAATTCATTTATTTTTTATTAATTATGTAAAAACCAGTATGATAATATTTTCTGTTAAAGAATCAAAAGGGAAATGTTTTTATAAGAATATACACAAAGTGTGTGAACCTACATGTCCTGATTTTTCATTGTTAAAGCTATGTGAGATACCTGAATGCCATTATTACAGGTGTATTATAATGTATGTGTCATTACAAATAGTGTAAGTCATTTTTCAGTAATAATAATAAATTGTAAGAAATTGTTCTCAGGCAGAAATTAAAAAAAAAAAAAACATCAATGGCAACGTGATCCAGATTAGGGTTGCTAGTAGTAGGGTATATTTTATAATGCTTTGTACATTTATTTATCTAAGATGAATACACCTATTCATATGATGTGAATTTGATTGAAGACTACACATATTGTATGAAACAAATTTAAAGAGAAAATAAATAGTACTTTTTATATTTGGAGAATAAAAAATAGAATACATTTTGCAATCATTATTATTTTTTAATCTGTTATATTATCGTAAATCTGATAACATACTAATGATGATGAGCAGTAATATGTTAATTGTATAATTTGAATTGATTTGTTACTTAAACAATATTTTAAATAAATATTTGTAAATAAAATATTATTTAAATATAGTCAAATATTCAATTATAGAGAAATACAAATTTTCGAACATTGATTAAATAATACAAAAATAACGAAATTAAATTTCATTTCAATATCATTTAGCACTTGTAATAATTATGGAACATTTATGGTAAACAAAATAACACATACAGTATAAATAAAACAACAATTTGTGATATTTATTGATATTACATTGTCATTACTATCGCCTCTAAAATTGAGTAAAGGCAGTGCTTTTTGTTTATGCAATGTATTATTGCAAATATATACATACTAAAATTCGACTTTTAACATTTCTAAATTAGCGTCTGTTTTCTATTTTATTCCGAACACATTTCCTATTTTTGTACCATACAAAATAAATATGTTTTTAAATAACACTAAAAATAATATTAACGATAATAGTATAACATTAATAGCGCTAATGCCAAATAAATTAGGTCAATAATAAATTATTAAAATTGCAGAATGTTACGAAACTCAAACGAAAGAGAACCAATGAAAATAATTTTCATTCGAACTGTATCATGGTATAAACTAAAATTGCATCTGAATTTTAACAATTTTTCATTTTTCGTTTTAAATTAAAAGTTTAAAAAAAAAATGTTCGTCCATACAAAATTGTCTGAGCCCAACTAAACGAAACGTATTCGGAACATTTACTTTTACCCTAATGTCTGTAACATATCGGAATAACAAGTAACCATAACATTTTCAACAACAAAATATTCAAATATTTTCACAACGTGAATATTTAAATATTTTTTTAACAAAGTTGCATCGTTTCTATTTTTAGCGTGATCGCTTTCGCCATTCGTAATTCTAGTCTCAACTCTTGCGCGATTATAATCGAAACGATGCGATATTTGTACGAAACAACAACGATGAGGCTGAACCAGCTGTTCGTTAACTAGCAGCTAATCATCCAAACCAATTATTAACGAAGGAGTTAAATCCATTGCTTAGGGATGAAAAAATTCCACTGTTTGCGTCGGGAGCTGTGTTGGTACCAGGATGTGGCCGAAAATGTATCACATGATCTCGGTGACCCTGGTCTCTGTTTCCATTGTAGAAACTTGAGCCATTTTCATCCTCGGTTTGATGTCTCTGTTGTTGACAAAAAACGAAAATAAAGTCCCGTTAGCTAAGCAATATCGGTATATTATGTGATAAATGTTATTTACAATTAGTAATTCAGATATTTCGCATAAATTGATGTAGGGAGTAAAAATTTGGAATTTTATATTACACTTACACTCGTCCTATGCAATGTTACGTTGAAAGAGGTTGGATGTTGCTCGACCACTCTAAATTCTACCTCTCGAGGAAGGTATCCATTTGCGTATACCTACAAAAAATAATTACGTCAAACTATGCACGAGTAATTCTTAAGAAAATCAAAGTTTCTTTATAGGTGTCATAAATATAAAAAAAAATTCATGGCGTGCAAATGGTGAATTATCTAAGTACTTATATTTATAGTAATAGTAATCGATCGTGTTACCTCGAGTTTGTACACTCCCGGTAATAAAATTCTCCAAAATTCGCCATATTTCGTTGTGAGGAAACTGACATCTCTTGATTTCACTTTGATGGACGCTCTCTCGATAGGATTTCCGTTTTCATCGACCACGAATCCACGTACTCCTCTGTGGGCTTCCGCTAAGAACTTGATAAGAGCCTAAAGAAAACAAAGAACACATTTAGACGCGCCTTTCTCATCCGCAAATCGCGCATACTGATTAACCAAAGCAGCATTCGTATTCCAATAGTGTTCCGATTTCAGTAGTATTCGAATTCTTATCGAGTATGCCAATATTAAATGATTTGTGAAATGTACGTCATTAATTTTATTCTGTCCATATTCCGTGCATTTGTGTAGGATGGACAGAGTCGTTTGAATCGAGCGCACGTGTCCAGCGTTTTTAATACTCTTCTGCGATAGTTTCAATTTGAATCGGCAATGGCGGACTAGACGAGTGCAGAATAAGTACCACATCACAGAAATGCAAGGCCTTGCTAATAAAAATTTTCTTGTAAGAGTGACCTTTTCTGTGCGTGGTGCATCACAAATTCGTTTTGTTAATTAGAATCTTCAACATTCGATGTTATTTATTAGATTAATTTTGATTTAGGAATCGTCATATTTACAGTGCCCCATATGAGTGGGTTGAAGAGAATCTGTACGACGTTACGTAATAAAGATATACTAACGTCAAAATGATATCATAAAGGTATCAGAGGGTCAATGAGAAGGTGTTTAGAAGCTTCTAATAAATTTCAAGGTGATCGCCGCGAGCCAGGGGCAGTATGTCAGGAAATTAATCAAGGTTCAAGATCTTCCTACTTGTCGACATTTTAATTTAACTGCTATTTAGAAGCATGGAAGAAAAATTGGTACTGTACACTTGAAAATAAGAATTGTACGTGTAAATAACCTAATTAGACCTGAATCTATGTTATTATAGGTAGATATTATTAAAAAATGGCGAAACTTGATGTAAAGATTGTTTAAATAAAGTTTCATTATTTCTAACTAAGAGATTCACCCCTACCATTAACAGCTCATGTTTCTATATACCTTAGACAATTAATAAATGTTGACATTTAAATTAAATCATAGTAATGTCCAATAATGCATTAAATTCGACAAGTAGTAGCTCTACACAGTCCATCCCCGCTATCACCTTCAAGCTTATTCATTGTTTAGCGACTGCCGAGCATTTAACGAGGTTTCGCTTTCCATTATCAAGATTCTCATGGAATTATCGCGGTTTCTCGTCCATTTATCAAGGTTCTTACGCGATGTCCCATTTTCGCAACTTACCGCGCGATTCTCGTCCCAGTAAAACTGCAAGTCGCTGGCTGGCGGATATTTGCAGCACGAAAGTTCTAACGTGATCTCCATGCATCCGTTCCACACGTAGTTGAAGTCTTGCATCCCTCCGGTGAGCGGGTACCATTGGGCGCCGTTAGTGATGCCATTCTTGAATCCTGGCTGGGATGCCGAACAGGGCAGCCCTTGGTACATGGAGCCATGGTTTTGCGAATACACCAGCGACAAGTGTTGGAAGACGTCGTCGTCGGGCGATATGCTTGGCGCCGAGGTGTAACTCTGAAACACTGAATTTCCTGTATAGGTCTTGGGTCGGATAATCGCCTCTTGGAATTTTCTTAACCGTTGAGCAAAATACATTCGAACCGTTTGTCTGTTAAGGAGGAAGCTCGGTTCGGGACGTCGAAGACGAGACGTTCTTCTACGAATTTTTTAAAAGTAACGCATTAAACGGATCTGCATGAAACTTACAGGGTCTTTTACTGGACATTTGGCGATGACAAATCATTTTAAGATTGAAAATCTTTTTATTTCCACGTCCAATTTTGTATCGAAAAAACTTGATTTGTCATCGCGAACCATCCATTAAAAGACCCTGTGAGTTTCATGCAGATCCGTCTAATACGTTACTTTGAAAAAATTCTTTAAAAAATGTCTCATTTTCAGCGGCCTCAACCTAGCTCCCCCCTTAATATGCTCGTAAGCCATAGCGTGTTTTAGATTAAACTCTAAGCGTGATTAATCGCAAAAAATCGATACGAAGATCTTGAATCGATCATTCAGTTAGCAAACACATTTATGTACCTGCGCATAACGGCGCTGACCGGCATATTCCTGACAGCATGAAAAGTTACACAACACGATGAAATTGCTTTTAACGATATCAATTAATGGAATATAATTTGCTTTGTGGCTGCAACAAAGTATTCGTATATAATTGAAGTGTAATGTTTTCTTTGGAATATTCGTGTTTATACAAGGCTTGTTGACTCCATGTGTACTTACGTGCGTATAATGATTCACACAGTTGATCAAACGTTAGTAGTCTCAAGATAATACCATAATATGCGACCGTTTTTATTTTTGAGTTATTAATTTTTCTTAATTGAGATAGTCGCTTTGTTGTGTTTTTTCTTAAAATAAATTGATCCGGTTTATCAATTGTGTGAGTCACGGTACGCATATTCTGCGAGAAGACTATAAGACACTTATCGTTTTACGAATTATCGTATAATTATTCAAACCTTTTTGTGAAAGTTGATTAGTGTAACAAAGACTTCTCATGAACACTTATATTTTAATTGGGAAAAGGTTCTTTTGAAATTTCAAATCCCGTAAGTCATCGTGTTTCTTAAAATATATAAAATATAAATAAAAAATTCAATTCATCCCTGTAACGAATTTTTTCACAATTTTATAAAATGTCTTATAACCTTGTCGCGAAGTGTAGCTTGCATTGGACAATATATTAGTTTATTTATATAAATATTAATCTTCAATCATTATTTTGGAAATGTCTGTCTATGGATAACATTTTCAAATGGATAAATTTGAACGACAGGAGCGTGTTAACTGATATACTGCCAGTGTGTATATTTAAACAAACTTACGTGAATTTGGCGTGTTATCGAACGGGTAACTGGCAACTAAGGCACCTCCGTGTAAGCTTCCTGATAACACGAACTGGATTTTTGATACCCATTCTTTGACAGCCTCCGTTTCCGGTTGGCCCTTCCTGTTGTTTTGCTTAAAGTAGTCGGGGAAGTTTCGGTTCAAATCAAAACCACGTGCATTGTACCTGCCGAGAACATTATTTATCGTTGCTTATTCCGTTTTATAGCGTCTTTCTCATGGCAAACAGGAAGTATTTTAATTTTTAGAGCAGATCACAGAAAGCGAATAAGTGTCAAAGACATGGAAAGATTAAAATACTGAAATCAAATAATAAGGAAACACAAACATGAAAGAATTATAAAAAAGTATACACCTCAACGAAGATTTAAAACGACTTACCTCCCTTGAGCACCTTCGCAATATCCTTCCTTCGAAACCTCGAAACCGTCGGGATTCATCGATGGAAGGATATGAATCCTAGTATTGTCGAGGAGCCACGTAACGTACGGATCCGAACCATAATTCGTCACGAAGTACTAAAAATGGGAAATCAAAATTTTAGCCTCGGAACACAATGAACAATCGAAATGTTTACTTTCAAAATGTAATGCTACTTAAGCTTTCCAAAATTCATACAATAGGGGGATGATTTCTTTAAAGATCAATCATTAAGTTACCAACGTGCCTCTCGAGTGTTTATATGAATTTTGAGTCAACGATTAGATTAATTAAGGTGTGTTAGACTACTTACGTGAATCAAATGCAACATTAATTCACGCCCCACGGCTTCGTTCCCATGTATATTGGCTACATATTTCACGTCAGGTTTGCCAATCATATGTTCGTATGGGGAGGCGGAAACAACCATCACCCACAAGTCACGACCTGAAGAATAGAATTTTAAAGTTCTTTTCATTTTATTATTGATAAGTATTTTGAATGTAATTAATATAACGAATTTAACGAATGTAACAAATATAATGAATATAATTTTAAAGGGGGATCTTAAATAGCCATACCTTTCACGGATTTCCCAATGGAGTACAGGGCAGTTAGGTTTTGGAAACGAAGAGATGTTGCGCGTAGAAAACGACTCATTTGGTCGTAATTATGATATGTGAAGTCGATACCGTACGGTTCCTCGTAAGCGTGAAAACGAGCATTGTACTGGTTGGAGAGATCTTTGTTAACGTGTTGCGAGGCAGCTACGGTTCCATGAAAGGCTCCAAACATGGAGACAAAGAGGAGAATCAGTCGAGACATTCTGCAAATAGAAGAGTAAGGTAATTCGGTCTTCATCGATCGCTTCGTTCGTTTTTAGAATGAGTTATAAGTAAAGCAAATTTATCGAAATTTTGTACTATTATTGGAAATGTATAACGGAAAACTATATATAACTCAGGCGGGATACAGTCCATAGATTATTTCACGAGCAGCAGGTGATTCAAGAATTACGTCGTATACAGGGTGTCCCAAAAGTCGGGGAGAAGCCGGAAATGGGGAGTAGCTGAGACGATTCTGAACAACAATTTCCTTTGCAAAAATGTCGGATGGGGCTTCGTTAAGGAGATATTAAGAGAAAACCCCGACCAATCAGAGCGCGCGTAGACCGTTGGAGCGGCCGCGGTAGCGAAGGCTACGCGCTGGCGGCCGCGCTTGTACGCGAACAAGTGACTCGACGTGCATCAAAGCATCAACCTAGCGCGTAGCCTTCGCTACCGCGGCCGCTCCAACGGTCTACGCGCGCTCTGATTGGTCGGGGTTTTTGCTTAATATCTCCTTAACGAAGCCCCATCCGACATTTTTGCAAAGAAAATTGTTGTTCAGAATCGTCTCAGCTACCCCCCATTTCCGGCTCCTCCCCGACTTTTGGGACACCCTGTATATTGTGTGAAGAATATTAATAGACTGTTTGTGACACAGTTATTAATTAATGATTTAAAATTTGAAATTTGTAATGTTTTCTAAGACGTTGTAAAAAAAAATATGTACCAGATTGAAAGGGTACGAGAAGAATGTGTGCAATAATATCATGTTCTTTTGTTTGTGTTCATTGGTATTTTGAATCATTATAGCGTAGACTAGGAAAAACCTGTGACCCTTGATCCGAATAAAAGTTATTTCGAACTTTCGGTTTCGCTCTGAATACACAAACTGATAGAGCAAAACTACATCCCGCGTACAACATGTCTCGTTTCATTGTCTCGTAATGTCCGCCGAGGGTGATGTCACAGAATCCAACTCCATTGTTTTCCATTGTTACAGTTTCCGGTTTCCCGTTTCGTCCTGTGCCGTCCAGATGCTCAGCACATGTTTGTTAGTTTGTTATAAATATTCATGAACCACCAAATATGGACTCTCTTACTTCCTACTGTTTAATACAATCGACCAAGTTTTCCTTTCGCATTTCGAATTTACCAGATAAATATATCGTAAATAGTTGTATAATACAAAAATCTTACATAGTCAGCCAAATAATGCAATTAGATTCAATCATCGATAAAGATTCAATCAAATAATCGTTGCGAACGATGCGGTTTCGAGTAATACGCGATTAAAGTTTTCAGAACGGTTATTTCGTTGGTAACGGCGAAAACTTGTATTATATTTTTAATGAGCTGTTCCGACTCTATAATATCACCGCTGGCCAACTTCTCCTGTCGTTTGGCTACTCCGTCCTCTTTTGTACTATTTCGCGCTCTTGGACTTCCGCAATGGAAATACGTGACTCGCCCGTCTCTCGTTTAATGCCAAGCAACATTGGGACAGATAATTATACTTCATTTAACATGCAGACTGTGGTAGAGGTGCGCAAAAAGTTATGGGGACACTTCGTCATGTAAATTTTATTAGAAGTTCATGTTTGACAAGTAATGTATGAATTTTAGTAAAAAATATATATCTTAGAAATTAATAGAATATATTTATTTTAATAGAAAATCAGAAACAAAGGATATATTGTTTAATCGATAACGTGTCCTAGTTTCATCTAAATAATTAATAACTCTTAGTTCATCCAAGTAATCTTATGACTCTTTCTCTCTCAATAAGTATACTTCTTAAAATATAATAATTTTGCTTCCAGGTTAATATTCTTCTCCTTATAATATTCAATTGACGAAGATAATCCTCTTTTCTAAGTGACGCACGTGGGTGTTAATTCTTACCACGTGCGCTTCATTATCTGTTAATAATAACTGATACTTGCCTACCTCTATCTACTAAAAATAATGGACAGTTGGTTCCATATCGATATTCGTATTTAAATGCTTCAATTAATTTGTAGAATATATTTCTTTTAGACTCTCAACATGAAACCTTGGTGGAGCCCTGGTGGAACCACCTAAAACAACCCTAATCACTTATAGTTTCTGCTGTACTTTTCACTTTTACATCTCGTAAAGCATCCAATCAAACCTTTAAATCATTTCAATAGATTTTGGACCTATGATACAGGTTTTTCGTGAAACAGCTTCTGTTTCTAAAACCATACTATTTGAATGCAATCGAATCTTCTTTTGCGGCATTTGTAACTCACGCGCAAGGCGCTAGGCGTCGCCACGTGTCTTACTTTCGGTATAGAATCATAGTATTTGGGTCAATTCGTAAGTGGAGGACTTTCAGTAATAGCAAAATACAGTGTCAGATCTATTATTAAAATTGCAGGAAGCTATAAACACTGTTGTATCAAGTATTTCATAGTCACTTATCAATGACCGCGGTGTCATCTTTCAATTCACGCTATTCAGACTATATCATTATTTAAAATAATAAAATAATTCGGTTAAAATAATTTCGATGACTACTATTGTATTCTATAATGCACTTTACGATACCCCTATTTTACATTCTAATAATACTATTGAAGTCCAAAGAGTCTGTTATGTGAACTTGACCCAATTCAACTAATTACTCCTACTTTTCTTTTTATTTTTAACTTTTTCAAATGAACCTAATAATTTTGCATTCACGAGGTCTTGTTAATATATTTTAAGGAGCTAGTTTGTTTCTTTTTTTCTGCTTTAAAGCCCGTTTACTACTACACGGACATTGTAAATAATTGTAATAAATTATAATTTGTAGGAGTCTAAACGAAAAATAAGGCACGGGGACTCGAACTCACGATCCTCGGATCCACAGTCGACCGCTTTACCTACGCAAACAATCCCGTACCCTACGTTTCGTGTTCTTATTTGACTCCTTATTGTTGGGTATGGGAGGCGCGGATACTACAAATTTGAAATTTCGAATTAATTTTGGAAGAATTTGACTCCTCTCTTGAAACTATTACAGCTTGGACACGTTGTTCTCGATGATAGGTGATAGTGAATGGATAGGTAGGCCCCCACCACAGCTTGAAATGGGATTCCCTGCATGTCGAGTTATATCAAACAGTGGTCAAGTTCAGTCGTGCTTGCATCGTTGCTCCCACAATCAACACAATGGCTGAACATAGAGCGTGCATTATCTTTCGCTGCATTAAACTGCTCTTAGCGATGATTTCATGAATTAGCATGTGATTTATCACTGTATCAACCCTCAGCGGTCCGACCACTCCTCCCTAGGCACAAAGTTTGACGTAATAGTTGAAGTACTTTTCTCAGGTGATTCAAATCCAGAAAATTAACGTATTGACTGAACGTTTACTATTTAAAATAAATGGTGGCCTCTTATAATTAATTTTACCAATAATTTCTGATTGCGAGAAACTTAAACTTGCAGCAAACTTAAATTTTGTCGTTGAAAACTTGGACTGTCAACGGTTGAAAGATTAAAATATAAAACCAAATTTTTGTGAAAAGATCTGACGATTTTCAATCGGCGATTGTGCTATTCGAGAAATGACTATCAAAATTGACATCTTCGATTCGTGCGAAGCGATTCCGGTTGAAAGATCTTCGCGCGACGATTTCGTTTCGATTCAGGAATTTCATATCGAGGGGAAGTCTCTATGGTGACCCACCCGTCCTTCCTATTCTTTTCGCCCCTCGAAATTTCTTCCTATTCCACGGAGTCAGAATGAAGCTAAACGGGGGCAGATTTGATGACTCTCGCACAATTAAAGTAAACGTGACGGAGAAGCTCAACAGCCTCTTACCAAAAGGCTTCCAACGACGATCGCAGAAGTCGCCAGACTATTGGAGCAAGTATTTTCGTTGGCAGATCTAAGGCTAAAGGGAGAGAGAGCCAAGAAAAAACGGAGGGAAGATTCAAGGTTTTCAGAATTTAGGCAACATATAGCTACTCAAAAGTAATAATAAGTGTGAATTAAATAATGATAAAAACATTATATAATTCAGTTCGAAATTTGTGAAAAAATAAGAAAATCGATTGATATGGTTGGGTATTCAGCTAACAGATCTTCTTTTTCTGCAATGAGAGCGGGGAGACGAAAGCTCTATTTTCAAGTTTAGTTTGAAATAATTCATTTTACAAATATTTACATTTTTGGTACACGTGTTAAATTTTCGTTTGTGATACCTACGTACATGTACGTGTGGCAAGTTTCGTTTGAGATTGGTCTTTCATGAAGTAATTGGGTATTAAATGGATCTGTCGAGTACCTAAAAATACAACACGCCGCCGAAAAAAAGTGGGTTACAATTATTGGCTTCGGACGGAATTAGTCGTCGATCAATCAGCGCGCATTTCAATAAAATCTCTCGAAAGGTTAGCGGTATACGCGAAGGGAAACGTAAAAATACCGTTTAAATGGCCGAAATGGAGAGGAAATAAATATTTCACCTTTATTTAGTATTTCATTCAAGTCGTATACGAATATATGCATTTGAAACTGAATTACTTTATCTCTTTCACTAATGCGTTCGACTTTAGTTTGTTTTATTTAATTTTATTTAATTAAAAACTGTATTGTATTTAAAAATGCACATTCGTTGGACGAATTGAACGTGTTGTAAATTATAATGACTTTATTTAGTAAGTTCAATATTTTGTTAGCATTGTTAGTAAAATAGTTTGATATCAAATTTGCAAGTAAGATGTAAGTTCTACGTGTGTTACATTAATTCGGTATAATAGCAAAGTAGCACTAGGTAAATAGTGTAGAACCGAAACGATAGCGCTTTCTTCGTGTTTAAATTTATCTGTACACTTTCTCCTGCATTTTTAACACTCAATTGCTGCGTGCTACTATTTAAAGTTTATTTTAATTCGTGGAGACTTTTTATTTCACGCAATAAAAACAATTTTATTATGGTGTAAGACGATTGATAACGATTTCAGTGTATCTGCTATAGTATCTAATATACATAATTATTTAAGAATTCACGATTCACATAGTTATTATACCAAGTGTTTCCCATTTTGTGCACTTCCATTGTTCACACATTTCTTCGCTCTATTTATATAATTGTATTTGTGCAGGTGGAACAATTTTGTTCATACCCGAAGACGACCATAGGAGGTCTAAAACACTCCTCTCAGTTCATAATTATCAAAGAATGAACGAACTATCATCTCTCGCACCAAGTTTGTACATTCACAAAAATTCAAAATCGTTTCCTCTACTATACTACTTCGTTCAATTTAATTTTCCTCCACATAAAAATGTTCTTCTCACCCAGAAACGCCCACGGAAACTCTAAAATATCACCTATCTTGTGTTTCTTAATTCCCCCAAAAGTGAACGTAAGCCTTCTTACCTGACAGACTATCCAGCAGCACCGCGAATCGGAGTCACCTGCAGGATTCGGAGCCTGGTCGCTGTCAGCGTGGGCGGCGATTCGAAAATTTGAAAGAAAAAAAAAAAAAGAAAAAGAAAGAAAATCGTAGATCGGGTCACGAAGCACGTGGTCCAGAACGGAGCACCGAGCTAAAGTGCGATTCGCTTCTCTTCTCTTCCCTCAGGTAGACGCGATTCTCAGCGGCACGGCACACCGATAACAGTCACAAGGGCCGAGGCCGTCGCTCGCGTTCGAACACATTGGATCCACAGTGGCGCTTTCGTAAACACCGTTCACGGATTGATCATGGAGAACGCGAAAGAAATTCTGGACGGGTTACGCGGCCGCCCGAATAGAGGAACGGTTTGTTTCACCTGCGAGAGTAACCCGAGGTGCGTGATACTGTGAGAACTTACAAAGAGAAGCGCGAAGTGTGCCGCGCGCTCACTACCACCACCTCCACCACTACCAATGAAACCCACTTCCTTCGTCACTAGCATCTGACGTCTGGAACGACTACCACCACACCTTCGTCGTTTAGTAAATACGCAGTTAACACCATTGCGCCCTACTACCACACCTTCGTGAAAACAATGAGTAACACACGAACCGTGTCATTCTGGCCCCTTCTCTTCTTTTCTCTTCTCTCCCTCTCCGCCCCCTCGCCGCCGCCTCATCAACTCCGCTCCCTCCCCCTCCCTAAACCGTCCCCAGCCTCCGTTCGTGTTCGCCAAAAATTTCAGGTAGACGGTTTCCGGGATATTTCGGAACTTTTTCTCATCTTCCCAGGACCATCGCCATTGTACGTCCGGGGACGAGTTTCGCATTGGGGTGCCATCGAAGGTGAATTTCTGGGGTGGCTTCTTGGATGGGGTTGTTGACTGTGGCGTGGGTAGGCTATTCTTTAGCGAGTTTATGGGTTTGCGGAGGAATTTCTCTGGTTCGGTTCGTTTTTAAGTGGTTTCAATAAATAACGAGTTTCTGTAAATGAAAACTGTCGTATACATATAGATAGAAATTAAAAGATTTGTTGGGTCAGTTTTTAGCTCGTCTGTTGAGACTGGTATTGAACCTATGGATGTGTGACTTCGCTCTTCGTTTTTGAACCCTCTGCGTTAACCCCCTATGGGGGGAATTTTTTTTTCTGTAAATAACTTGGGAGGCATCTACTTCGATATTTCAGGTCGATGGTGCTTCCAAGTATCAACAATATTTTTATTGGTATCTTGTGAAGAATCTGAATTATTTTGTAAAGTGTCGATTTATTAGCGTGTTACCTGAAAGTAACATAGACCCATAGGGGGTTGGAGGGTTAATTGGGAAGTTGTCGAAACACAAACTCTGTTTCTGATAAATGGGGGTTTTAGCGTTTTCTAAGCACACGCCAAGGGCCAATCTGGAGTTACTTTTATATAATGAAATAGAATTTGTAATATATAATTAACGTCCATTTTATTATTTATTACGCTTTCTGGAATTATTATTACGAAAAGTAAGAGATTGGGAATTTTCCTTGCATAACGCAAACAGTATAAATAGCTCATGGTCGTGACAGAAAAACAAAATCATTGCGACGGAAGTGAAATCGGTAGCGATGGAGATAACGAGAGAGGAAAACGGGAAATTCCCGTATTCGGTCGGGAATTCCTAGATTCTTCCACAATGTCATTATACATCGTGTCGCCGAAGAATAGAATTACATAAAACAACGACAAAAGACTTTGTCAATATTAGATAGAGAGGACGGAACTAATTCATGTTCAAATAATTCTAAAAACGTACTTGGCCCGCTTGTCACTTCCTGCATCCCATAACCGCTCGAACTTAGGCATTCGCCTAGCGTAATAGTATTATAATTACTACCTACTGCTACTACTTTTAGGTACTATTTTTACTAAATCAACAAAGTGGTATTACGATATTTGGTGAAACAAAGTTATAATATATAATTTAAATATATCGATAAAATAGGGAAAATACATTTCAGGATTATACTAAAAAAAATTGAGGGTTAATTTTTGGAGAAGATCTGAAGTGAAAACTAAAAGTAAATTGTCAAATAATATCGCCGAATAAAATGAAGATTACTTTCTCACAAACAGATAATGAATAAGAAACATTGTAATAACAAGAAAAGAAGTTCTGTTTGTTGTTATAAATTAAAAAGGGGAAACCCAAAAAGTAAATCATCTAATGATATTGCTGAGTAAAATATAAATTATTTTCTTGTACCTAATTGTGAGCTATATTTAATTTAGAAGTCGAAACATGAAACCGAGAAAAAAAACGTAAACGAGTAAGAGGCGAGACGCAGCTGAAAATCCTGTTGGTATACATATAGCCCAACCTCATATTACGGAACTGATCGCTTTCAAGGATGCGGGCGACAAGCAGGTTTTACTGAATTGATTTGAACTCATTTGTTCATTTAACGAATCGAAGTTTCTCCCCCTCTCTTGTTTCCCCTTTTTATTTAGTCCTTGATCATTCGCACTTAGAACTTCTGGGATCTGTACTGACCCACTTGTTCTGCTCTTGAACAACCAACACTTGCTTACATATCGAAAACGTTAACATTATTAGGCGTAGAAGTCAAGTCTGTACCTTTACATTCAATATTTGTAACCGCAGTTTTAATGAAAATATTTACTTTTTCAACCTCGTTAAAAATTTCTTGTGTAAAACGACCCTTGAGATCACACCAGGGTTAAAATTTCAATGACTTTGCCCTTTGAGCGTTCATTTTTTCAAACGCGGCGCGAGGCAATTATCTTCCGTCGAAATCCGGCTTCGTTTCGAAAAATCTTGGATTCTACGATTTTTCGCGCACACCTGACCGCATACGCGAGAGGAACTCGTGCGTAAAATGTGAACCCCACTTTACGATACGCGAAATAAGAGCACGGCACACGAGAAACGCTTGAACTTTAAATAATGGTGCCAGTACGAATACGAGAGAGAAAGTAAGTGGAACAAAGTAATCGATATATCGTTCGAAATTTTCGAGTCAGTGAAAGCCCGTTTAACGCTTTTGTCAACGGTATAGACGCGGAATCATCGAGGAAAATTCAACATTCGACAAGACAGACTATATTTATGCACCGTTAACAATTTCTGTGCTGCTTTATATATTTCTCTTTTTATTGTGATTCATCAGTGAGACTGAATGTCATTAACTGTAAAAGTCGAACCTTATAATTTTCTGTGAAATTTTATTTTATTAACTATGTTTTCTTATTTTTTCTTTACTGTTTCTTTACTTTACTCCTTCTTTAAAAAAAAGTGGCTGTATGATGACTTGTACCTAAAACAGGATCGTTATACAATGCACAATCAGGAATACATGTTTGTGTTATGCAACTGCATTTTTATAACTTGATGAAATTTTTAGAAGAACAAAAGCAAGTAAGAAAGAAAAGTCATATTTTTAAATATCAAAATTAAATTTAACAATCATTATTTCACTAATGACTTGACATGTTTTTCATAGCATCTCATAATTGATTATTTTACCTCGGAATAAATGAATTTAATTATACATCTGACTAAATACACCATGTTCTAAGGAACCCATCTCCCGTTTAAGATATAAATTGCTCGAATTTTCGTAATAAGTTTATCGTGTCATCTATCCATCAAGCTAAAGGGAACGAAAGAATTGGTGGACCAGATCCAGTTATTCGAATGCCTCCGAAGCAGCCCTTGCACACGTTCCGAGAGCTATCGAGATCAGTGTCCTACTAGCAGTGCTCACCAGGTAACAGATCATACTCTCGGATGGATCGTTGAACCCTGGTAGCGTGGAACGCGTTTGAAAAAAAAAAAAAAAAAAATTCCGGTCAGAAGTATGTCACAGCGGTGTATGACTAGCTGTGGAGAGTGGAACTGGGGGAAAATCGGGGTGATGGTAAGAGGGAGAGAGTGGGGAGATTGGAGAAGAGGAACTTCTCACGGTCGATGATCTACCTTGAGATGACCACGGGACCTCATTCTTAAAGGTCAACTGGATATTTTCAGCTTCTAATTTTAACATACTTAGTACTGCATATTTTACTTTCCCGACAGCCGTTTTAGAGCATTTGCCGAAGATCGGAGGCGAATATTACAGCGCGAGACCCGCGACAGGAAAGAAACTTTAGCCAGAGGCATCCATTTCCTGGTGGACTATAAACGATCGCTACGTACTGTGGGGAGACTGTTTTATTTTCCGAACGTGTGTACATGTAACAACGAGTTCGACATTGCCGGCACGTCCCAATTGCAGGCGCTGAAAATTAATTTAAAAATTAAATACAAATTTTGTCACTTTTACAGATTTCAAAATAAAATTGTACAAACAGTACCTTAAATTGCCAAACTTAAAGATACCTGTACACTGATACACTCACACACTTTTCATGTCCCCTAACTTCTAATTTCGTTATTTTTTTATATTTCAAAATGAAACTTTAGGTATACATTTCAGTTATGTACATTAGTATATACATTAGGTATGTATTTTCGGATGTAGATAGCTCTGAATAAACCTTGGTGATCGTGAGTTATGAATACCGTGACAATACATTATTCTTTTATGGAAATTTTCAGTCGTGTATCACTTGAAGTGCCGCGGGGGAATTTTTTAATTTTCTCATTCGTTCCGTGAAAATTAATTTGCATTTGAGGATTAAATAGGTGTATTCTCTAAGGAAGGTGAATTGCGCCTTGTGACACCTTTCTGACAGTTCTTTGGAACGTTTTTGGTATCAACGATACATTCTTATTTAACTTTTTCTATTTTTGTCTTTTAAATTTGTAATTCGGTCCTTACTTTCGCTGAAATCAATTTAAATCTACATTTTATGCAGATACGTGAATCTTTCTCGTTTCCAATTCTGATAGAATCAATTATTTGCGTAACTGAAAATTAGCAAAAATAATTTGGCCAGTGTGTCAGCGAATCGGAATACGATATATGGGGTACGGGAGAATTATAATCAGGCCGTAGAAAGAGTCAACTCGGAGGGTGGGGAAAGTTCCAGGAACGGGATTCTCTACTTTCTACTTTGCTCCTACTGTTCCGGCTGTATCGAGTGTATAGCGAAGTTAAAATCAACTGGTCACTCAAAGTTTGGAGAAGTTATTGTGCCACACAGTTTGGCTCGCTGATATGCCGTCTCTTTGCGCGAAGTAACCTATACACGTGCAGACCTTAAGCACGTATGTAAACATAAAACCAGCAGCTTCTGGTTGTTTTGGTAAAGTGAAGTTTAAACTAAATGTTCCTCGAAAATATAATTGAAAGTATTTTATTTCGAACGAGATCCAGCGTAATTTGATCATCATACCGACTACAATAACATTTAGAATAACTTCTTACTACGATATTTAATGAGAAGGAGTTTGTAGAGGTTCGAACAGTAACAATTCTGCAAATCAGTGCCATAAAAAAGTCCATCCATTGAATCGACGATGTGGTTGGGTATTTTGTGTCTCGTGGTTGCGTTAATTTTTGTGTTATCATACGACTACTACAGAAGACCACACAAATTTCCTCCAGGTAACATAAATTTCCAGAACGTTTGTAAATGTTCGTACGTGTTTGAACACCTGTATCTTCGGTCTATTTAATTCGTTCGATCGTTTAAGGCCCAAGGGGATTTCCTATCATTGGAAATGTACTCGATGTGGCTAAATTAGTAAAGGAGACCAACTTGTTTATCGATATTTGGAGCCGTTTAGCGGAGAAGTATGGACCGATTGTTGGTCTTCGATTAGGCTTCGACCAACCAGTGGTCGTTGTTTCTGGTAAAGCTGCTATTACGGAGATGTTAAATCGACCGGAATTCGATGGCAGACCGCAGGGATTCATCTTTAGGTTTAGATGCGGTGGTTCTATGCGGGGATTGTTGTTAACGGACACCGATGTTTGGCATAGTCAGAGAAGGTATACGCAATAAAATTAATTTTGGAATTATCTGTTTGAATTAGTCTGAATATTATTACATATTATTACTATATTAATAATAATAAATATTATAATCACCGTGTCTAAATTACTATAATTATTATTATTATAGTCTTTGCGCTTACAGATTTGCATTGAAAACTCTCAGACAGTTCGGTTTCGGAAAGCTCACGATGGACGACATACTTCAGCGAGACGCGATCGCATTGACGAATATAATTATCGAATCAACGAAGAACGAGCCATTGACCAATATGTATTCTGTAATCAGCGCAGCCGTTTTCAGCAATTTATGGTTCATCTTAGATGGAACGAAGTGAGTAATTAAAATAAGGAACAGTTACTTAGTTACTGCATTTATTAAACAGTGCTTTTACGTTTTCAGATTCGACGTGGGCACGGAAACTGCCGAATTTAAAGAAGCGATACACGTATTTAAAAACGTTCTTAAATCCGTGAACGTTTCGGGTGGCGTTTTGAATCCTTTCCCTTTTCTGAGATTCCTGTTCCCAGGACTTACAGGATTTTCGGCGATGAAGGAGCGACACAAACACCTGGACGACTTTTTTATGGTATGTCTTAACTTGTTCAGGGTTCCTTGACGAGGATGTTTGTTTATTATTATTTTGCAGGATGTGATATCGAAACATAAAAGTAATAACGTTGGCGGAGAATCTACAAATTTTATTGATTCTTACTTGGAAGAGGTGGAAGCGCAGAAAGCAAAGTCATCCTCATCGTCTTTTAGTGGTAAACTTTATTTCATATTACATTAGAACATTTAATTAACACCGAAAAATTATTTTGTTACAAGTCATTCATTCGTTTAAAAATAAGCAGCTATAAATAAGTAGCTATGAAAATAAAATCACAAACACAGCGACAAACAATCTCGAGAATATTTTAATTTCAAGTGTTTGTCTCTGCCCACTTTTCACTGATAATCTTAACATCGTGTTCTAGAACAACAACTAGTTTATGTTTTGAAGGATTTGTTTGTGGCTGGGGTAGATACAACAGACAATAGCCTTGGCTTTGTAATAGCATTCCTAGTGGTTCATCAAGATGTCCAAAACAAAGTGCACAATGAAATTGATGAAGTCATAGGGAAGGATATTTGTCCCTCTCTTAACGATAGAAATCGGTAAAATATATTTTTTTAAATCCTCTAGAAACTTAATAATAAATATCTACGCTGTTAATTGAATTACTAAAGTTCAATGAAATCTATAAAACTAATTAATCTAAGTAAGCTATTTAATTGATAAATATCCCATAAATGTTATAATAAATAATGAACCATTCCTTCATTTATTTTAACTATATATTACCTTACAGATTGCCATATTTAAACGCAGTTTTAACAGAAGTACTGAGACTAGCAAACATTACTGGTACTACTCTTCCGCATCGAGCGCTAGCAGATACTAATTTACTAGGTTACGGAATTAAGAAGAATTATTCATTATTAGCGAATCTTAAAAGCGTACACATGGATAAAGAACACTGGGGAGATCCTGAAGTGTTTCGTCCTGAACGGTTCATTGACGATAATGGACAATTCGTCGACGACTCGTGGGTTATACCTTTCGGATTAGGTAACCGTTATTCTACTATTAGAAATGTAATCAAATAAAAATCTTTGCACAGGTGACGAAGGCAGATGAGCCTTACAAGTATATTTCCTATCATAATTCTTTTTTTACTTTTTTATTTGCAGGCCGAAGAAAATGTTTGGGCGAAACCGTAGCGAAAAATACAATGTTTCTCTTTGCGGCATGTTTATTCCAAAAGCTACACTTTATGTTGCCAGAGAAAGATCCTGAGCCGAGTCTTCTAGGAGTCGATGGCTTCATCACTTCACCGCCAGCGATGAATATTATAGTTGTTCAGAGACATTGATCTAATGATTGAAAAAGAGATTTAAATGATTTTGGAGTCTTTTGTGTTACAGAAAAGTGTTAGAACCGTTTGTTGAGTTATATCGCTGCCATAAATTTGTTAGTTTTAAGTCAGAGCGTGTATATATTAATGAACGATTTTTCTTTCTTTACTTTAGTCAAGTGCAACATCTACGTTCGTGACTAAAATACTACGAATACAACATTATGAATTTATTATTATTGCAGATAAAATCTTCTACCTATTTAGATCCATTTGTGTAAAATAATCCTGCCTATTGCATTGATAATACTGATACTTTAATATAATTAAATTGATACATTCAAATTTCCTGCGAAAATTAGTGTCGCCATCTAACGGTCAACAAGCCGAACTATTTTCGGACTCCAGTCAGCGCCTCTATCGGGAAAACGCTCAAGTTTGTAAACATTTAAAATATTTACGAATCCTATTTTATCACGTTCCTATAATCAATTTGTAGGTAAATCATAGTATTGTAATAATAAAATTTATCTAGGAAAATATTTTTTTTGAATACCACCGTCGATAATTTTGTATAAATGACGCCATCTAGCAGTATAAAAAAAAACTATCGAGGACAAACTTGAGCGTTTTCCCGATAGAGACGCTGACTATACTTTGAAAAATAGTTCAGTATGTTCACCACCAGATGGACACCCTTTCTCAAAAGAGAGTATTGTTTATATCACTATTCTGAACATGTGTTTATATGTGTTTTGTAAATTGATTAATGTATTCATCAATGCAAAAGAAATCTAATTGCTGGTTTAACAAATTATGCTTTAATAAGTTTTGATGGTAATTAAGTTATACGTGCAGAAGGTTATTACAAAAGCATGAAAATTTTCAGAGAAACATTTAATTGGTATCTTACAAAATAAGAACTATTACAAAATAAGAATGTTAACTATTCCTATTCTTTCGTTACTTTTAATCAAGTTGTAATTTAGGTTCTGAGGAATTCACTTATCTTGGGGTACTGAACAACATGGCAAAATATAACTCGGATGAAATTGTTTTGAGTTACTATGACTGTTTACTTAGAGCAAGGGATGTAGCATTACTGCAAGGATCTCATTGGTTGAATGATGTTGTAATAGGATTCTATTTTGAATACTTGGATGCAAAGTATAACACAAGTGAAAAGAAAGAAATGTACTTCATGAGTCCTGAATTAACGCAGTTGCTCAAGATGACAGATCCATCAGAATATAGCATTTTGTTGGATCATGCTAGTGTATCGGAATGCAAATGCATATTTTTCCCTTTAAACAATTGCGACAGCAGAGATACAGCAGGAGGATCGCATTGGAGTTTATTAGTATATTGTAAAGCAGATAAAATGTGTTACCATTTTGATTCATCAAAAGGTTATAATAATAATATTGCTTCCAAATTTGCAAAAAATATAACGAATTTTGTACTCAATAAAGATAAATCAAATAAGAAATTTGTTGAAGCGGACTGTCCTCAACAAGACAATCCATACGATTGTGGAGTTTATGTTCTATGTCTAACAGATGTAGTTGCAGAGAATGTTTCAAAAACTGGAAGGGTAGATGGATATGATTATGATCAAGCTAAACAGTTAACACGTACAAAGCGTGCGGAGCTATTGCACTTGATAAATGAATTAAAACAAAAATCGAGTGCTGATCAGTAACATGTGTAGTTTATCAAAAATTAAATTTACATCTGAAGTATTTTCTTTAAAACATTGTAAATGTAATCCATATTTATTTCGTGTTGTATACTTTATTAATAATTTTGTATTGCATTCTTATAGTGTATTTAATAAATGAGTATAGTACACTTAATGTTATGATTTGGAATGTCTTATGGAAATCTTGAAATGTTTATGATGTGTTGATGTGTCTATTTGGATCCGTGTGTGTAGTGGAAACATCTTGGCTATTAACGACAATTAAACACAATGTAGATTTATGTGTCAAATAATATTATTATATAAATACATTTGAATTTCCCGCGAAAAATTGGTATCGCCCTCTTATGGGAAGACGCCCAAGTTTGTCGTGAAGATAGCGCCGATAACAAAGATTATATCAACTCATGGAACATGTTTGTAATAATTACGAATTCTATTTTATTACGTTGTAGTTAAAAATTTATAGGTATATCATAGTATTGTACTAATAAAATTTATCTAAGAAAATATTTTTTTTTAATACCACCGTCGATAATTTTATATAAATAGCGCCATCTAGCAGTAAAAAAAGGAACTATTGAGGACAAACTTGGGCGTATTCCTGATAGAGGCGCTGACCAAACTCCGAAATTAGTTCGGTATGTTCATCACTAGATGGCGATACCAATTTCCCGCGGGAAATTTGAATGTATTTATATAGTTGTATTAATTGACTCATAGTTAATTGCTTTGTATAGATTAGGATGCTAGAGCCAGATTGGGCCTTACACTTTAATAATATAAACAAACAACTAAAGAATTCCAAGTCGAACCTACGACTCTTATTATCAATAAGCAAATTAAATGAATGAATGAACCATTCTAAAAGTATTCGAACATGTGTCTCGACTTTCGTTAACATGAAAAATAAATCAATAGTATCTATATGCACAAATACTTGTAATGAACTTTTAGTTCCACTACTTTACTTACTTACTACTTACTATTTAAGTATTTGTTACATGTTTCTATAGTAATCAAGTAAAGCATGTCGGTAGATAAAATGGAAAATATTTAGCCTTGACGCATTCACATTATTCAATTGAACAGTTTTATTGTCCAGATAGTAGCAACGTAGCCAACGTTTGTTGTTAAATGTTTACTTGCAGCCATTACCTTGCACAAATCAAACTGTTTGCATGGTGTAACGTACACCTTGGATCACAGTCGTTGTACGCCGCCAGTTTATCTCTGGCGAAACATTAAGCCTGTCCGAACGAGAATTATCTTTCAGTATTAATACGAAGCTTGAATTTTACGATTCGAGTGCGGTTTGTTCACCCCAAGTGAAAACGCGTTGGTTCTTCCAGTAAGACGCACAAGCGATACGGTCAATCGAACTGGGCTTCGTTTCGCGTAAACTAATTATAATTACTCGATATAACTCTCATACTAAATGTAATACTTAGCTTTAGTACAATATTTATACTAAGCATAATATAGAAATGTTCGGAAATTTATTAAAAGAAAATTGTGAATTAAAAGTGTACGTGCAATAAACTGTGGAAAAATTTAACTTTCTTTGGGCGTGATAACGTTTGCGGTGGTTGATTTTGCGTTTTTATCGTTCCTGGGAATTTTTTAATTATGTCGTCAACATAGTGGCGCGCAGCTATATGTTGTTACTGAATGAAAGAGAACAGTATCCCGGTGTCATATATAAATGAAATTCTTCTTTTGAATGATTATACACATTCTAAGTGTTTGAAGTGGAAAAAAGGTTGAAGACGAAGATCTCGCGACCGGAAACATAGCAATTTTAATGGAATGGGAAACGCATTCGAAGCTTAACAGTTTTCAGATACCGCTCGGTGTCCTTGGAACATTATACCTCTTGAGGTCAGTTTATGAGTAAAGTGTCGTATTGTAAAAGCCTTAGTTAATGGAATCTCGTCATGTCTGTGAAACAAAACGGACCGGATGAGAAGAAGATGCGACCGAAAGAGAAAACGGAAAATGCGCGGAATTCTGATGATAATTTCCATCCACCCGATGGTGGATGGGGTTGGATTATCGTAATCGCTGCAGGATTCTCTAACGTAAGTTGTAATCGATTTTAAGAAATTCTTTATGAATTTTTATTACGATCTTCAAGCTAGAAGTCAGGATTTCAATATTAGAAGTTTGTATTATTTAAAGACGTCAACATTAAAGGCTTCATTGACACGTTAAAAACGTCTTTCATTTAGATTATTCCGGCTCCTTTTATCTAATCAATGGAAACACTTCAGAGTGGATATTACAACAATAATAAAATTGAATAATTGCTTGTATTATTTTGTTTTTTTCTTCCTTTTACACATGAGAGCGTACAAGATAACACTGATGGAGGAATGTATGTCTTTTTTTAATAATATCGAGCAGTCGATCTGGAATTAATTTAATTTAATATTCATAACGTATCGATTGTGAAGTTTTACGATTTTATTTGGTTAATAAAATTTTTGCCTTCATAAATTAATTTGATCAATTTTATTGATTTTATTGAAGTTAGATTTTATTTAACTGAAGAGTTGTAATACAATTTTCGTAATAATTAAAAAAGTACAGCGTCGAAACAAATAAAGGGTTTTAGGAATTTGTTTGTTAACAACAGCATAGAAGTTCTCGTAATTAATAATGACAATGATATACATATACTTAGTAAAAATGTTGTCCTTGGATTCACCATTGCCTCAAATTCTTATAAATAATACTAGTAACGATAAATAAATTTCGCACCTTCCTTGAATTCACCCTTACTCGAAGTTCTTATAAATAAATTGAAATAACTATGTAATTCTTTCAGTTTTGCATACTACCAGTGTTGCAATCCTTCGGACTAATATTTAGAGACAGATTTACGGAGTTAGGAATCAACTCGTCGCAAACAACAACTATATTGAACATGAATATCGCGGTGACTGCTTGCATCGGTGAGCCGCATCTTAATTATTCATTATCTACGCCGCCTTTAATGTACGTGGTCGTAATTTTTTATTAAATACGTCGTGTTTGTTCAGGAACGCGCGAATTATTGCTACAATTGATGTAATTGTGCGATATCAGCTGATAAAACAACGCGACCCATGCACGAACGAAGAAACGTGTTCTTATCACGACTGTACCCAATTATTTCGCTCGTCTTGATTTTTTTTTCATGATATTGGATTCGTTAGTCATTGCCACGACGATGTCAACGGGGTGACGTCATGAGGAAATATCGTATGCTACTTGTGCTTTTTTAATCGGATGCAAAGATTCTTATTGCAACACAATGCTTGTTATACAATGCTTGTGATAGAATTTGTAATAGCGATTTATGTATGTCATCGCGTAATTCAGAAATCGAAGGGAGAGATTGTTGGAGTTGGATACTAACGTATAGCCTAATTGGCTGGAGTGCAGAGAGTTAATATCTACATTCCAAAACGTTTACGATATATATACAGGGTGTCCCAAAAGTCGGGGAGGAGCCGGAAATAGGGGGTAGCTGAGACGATTCTGAACAACAATTTCCTTTGCGAAAATGTCGGATGGGGCTTCGTTAAGGAGATATTAAGAGAAAACCCCGACCAATCAGAGCGCGCGTAGACCGTTGGAGCGGCCGCGGTAGCGGTGGCTACGCGCTAGGTAGCCGCTCTCGTACGCGAACAAGTGACTCGACGTGCATCGAAGGATATTGACGCGGCCGCTCAGCGCCGTAGCCTTCGCTACCGCGGCCGCTCCAACGGTCTACGCGCGCTCTGATTGGTCGGGTTTTTCTTTTAATATCTCCTTAACGAAGCCCCATCCGACATTTTTGCAAAGGAAATTGTTGTTCAGAATCGTCTCAGCTAACCCCCATTTCCGGCTCCTCCCCGACTTTTGGGACACCCTGTATATATAACATAATACATAATATGTTACATAAATTGTTTAAAAGAAAATTGTCTGCTCGTGGATTGAAAGTATCGATTGTTACATCAATCGTATAGCGTTACGATTTTTAGAATTTAAAAAATGATTACTCACCGTCCGAGATCAATGATTTAATATCTTCGCGATATCTTGTAATACAATCACTTGTATCATACATAATGCGATAAAGTATGCTACAATGAATCATGACAAGCGTATATTAATAAAAGTGATTATTTGTCGCGTTCTGAAATTATTTAATGTATTCTAACGAATATTTCTAACGAAACTCTTATTTGTTCTAGGATTAGCAAATGGGCCACTGTTCAGGAAGTTCAGCTATAGGCAGGTGTCTTTCACAGGCGCTCTTATTTCCGCTGTGTCGATTATGGTACTATCGAGAATGAAAACTTTTACCGGAGCATTAATTTTCTTTTCGTTTTTATATGGTAAGTCGAAAATAAATACAAGTCATCGTACCGCGACGATAAGACGAGGCAAATGATCTTTTAAAAACGATTTTTAAATTTCATTCGGTTTAAAAATGAATTTTAAATTTCATTGATTTTAGCATAATATTCACACGGTACACAAATTGGTTTTATTAATGTCAGGAGAGATCATTATTCACAACTTTCCGTTCATTATCGATAAGATAAAACGGAACCAGTTTGCGATGTAGTTTCCAAAAATACCTTGTCACCTAGAAAAATAATCATTGCATAAAGCAGTGATACATTATGTTAACATATGACTACTAATTAGCATATGACCACTAATTAGCACGTTTTTACATTTTTCAAAAATAGATGCCGCTAAAACATTTAACCTTGAGGGCGATAATTTCAGGTGCTGGAACTGGTACAGCAATGTCGGCGAATTCGTTGGCTTTGAATACTTATTTCAAACAAAAACGAAGAATCGCGACTGGTCTCAGTTGGACTTGCACTGGCATGGGACCAATTGTAATACCACAGGTAACTTCGCGTTAAATAAATGCAAACGAACGAAATATTAATTTTGATATAATAGCTTATGAAATAGCGTGTTACTTTTTAGGTAATCACATTGTTGATGCCCAAGTACGGTATCGAGGGAACCATTCTAATATTTGGTGGGATTGCGTGTAATGCTGTCGCTTGTGCTCTTCTTTTGCAACCCGTTTCAATGCACGCGAAACAAAAACGAAATACTGAGAAATTAATCATCAAAGAAATTTCAGATACGTCACCATACAGTAAGGTACAGTTTAATGATAAATAATAATTTCAAAGAAGATCCGAATATAACAGTCACGTTACTAGATAGTTTATTTTTAATAATAAAAAAATAAATATTATTTGATCGAACTAGATCGATTACAAGTAATTATTTCAAACAAAATTTGCTCGAATCTGGAACGATCTGATATACACTGTTACATTCGGACCTAATTAAATTAAGAACTTCGTAATGTCAGACGTTTTTCGTCGTAACGGTTTTATAATGTATGTCCAGACGACAGAGCCATTGAACAAAAATGGGAAAATTAGCGTTCAAAGCAGATCGTTGGATAACATCGTTGGCGGTGTACGAAACAGCGACGGTACTTTCAGCCTTGCGAAGGGGAAATTCGGTAGTCAGTATTTGTATTACGACGACGAAGAAGATGGAGCTTCCGGGATAGACGTAATGGGCCCTGGTGCCATTATGATGTCACGAGCTAACGATGGTTGGTAAGTAATCTAAGTACAGAAGTAATAATTTGAAATGTAATACACATGTTTCCGATTTACGTAATATATTTTTGATGCTGTTTCTAAAATAATGAATTTCTAAAAACAAATACTGTCAGAAACAAAAACTGATACCCCTCGGATTCACTTCGTATCCACCGAAGACACAACGGATGACAAGCTGTTTATATTATCCCCTTCTTAATTCAATTTTATCTAATCTATTTCCTAGATTTACACTTTTCTGATCCCGTTTCTTAGACTCTGTACATTTTATCTTTTATCTAATATTGATAGAATAGAAATTTATCTGTGACTTTTTTTCTCAAATTAAAAATGGTAAAATTAAAATTAAAAAATTTTAAGTTGAACTATTTAAAATAGGTTCTCCAGAAAAGATACGTCAACTGTGTCAATAACATCTCGAACATCGAGGAAGGATAACACTTCGAGAAATCCCAGCCGAAGACCGTCGATATCTTTGAGCAGGCAATCCAGTCTCAACACAGGATCGTCGGTAAGAAATCTTAATAGGTAAATATTTGTTGCATAGAGTAAGTGTAATGAATCTACTAAATCATCGTTAACACGTTGACTGTCAGACTGATTGTCGTTAATATTTCCGGGATGCTCAGGCATTGTTTCTAGGCAATTGGAAACTAAATAGTATCACATTTGTTGTAATAATTATTTTCTCTGACACCTCAGCTTCTGGATTAATTATTTTAATTCCTTGGCGAACAAAATTCCGTGACATATTATTATACGGACGATATGGCGGTCAACGTATTAAAAATATTAAAATACATGGAGATAATCAATTTGAAAATTTAATAATTGAACAGAAAATGCATTTTACATATTTTTATGTTTCTTTTAGTTCGTAATATTTTAAGAACATTTTGAGGAGGATAAAAGTTTGTTTCTAAGCAATTGGAAAGTAAATCCAGTAAGGATATCCAGTGTTATCAATGGATATTCCTGTCACTGCTTACATAATCTTACTGCTTACCCTCTAAATTTATTTATACCTATTTCCAGACAAAACAGCGAAACAGAAAGCTATCGACGGAGAATTTCGTGTTATCAAGCACCTGCCCTTCCACTGATCATTCTCAACGAGTCCTGCGAGCACGCTGAAGACTCTGAACAGTGCAAAGATCCTGATTGCAGTCAGAAACTACAACAGAAGTCGGCCATACCTGAGAAACTAGAAACTGCTAATTTGTTGGAAGAGGTGAGATTAATAACAACATCAGATTAATAGTAATAGTAATTTATAGTGATACAATTCAGTGTCCATTTTAGGAATGTGTCAAAGAAGAGAGGAAAACTTTTCTGGAAGCCGTGATAATGTTTTTCGACCTTGATCTCCTTCGTGATCCTATTTACGTAAACATGATGCTGGGCATCACGTTCGCCAATTTCGCGGAAATGAATTTCTCGTTATTGACACCGTTCATTTTGAGCGAATTCGGATTTTCGAAGATCCGAGTCGCAACTGTGATGTCGATTCTTGCTGGGGTCGACGTGGCCACCAGATTGACGATTCCTTTTATTGCTGATTGCATCGGCTGGCAAAACAGGACCTTCTTCCTCGTTGGAATCTCTGGAATAGCACTTGGTCGTATCGGTGAGATTATTAATTCACTTTATTGTTTTGTAAACGTTGAATTCATATCAGATGTCTGTTCTAATATTCAAACTTTATTCTGTTTTTATTTTTTTATGAGATACATTTCATTTTATTCTAATTAAAATTTCAATTTTTATTCTACAATTAACGAATACAAAGTTACGAAGTGTATCACACAATTTATATAACGAAAATATGTCATTCAAGTTTTAGTTTCGATTTTAATTTTCATATCGAGAATAAAGAGAATTTTTCATTTTACACACAGTTTATACAATCTCTGAATTTACTTTTCCAGTGCTGGCTTACACAGGCGATTTTGGAGTGACTATAGCAATCGCAGTTCTAGTTGGCGCAGGCAAAGCTTTGCGAACAATATTTATGGCCCTCGTGATTCCAAGTCATGTGCCTTTATCGAGGCTCCCAGGTGCAACTGGTATACAACTGCTAGCTGGTGGCGTGACTTCGTTGATGCTGGGTCCAGTTGTGGGTTGGATCAGAGATATTACATCGGACTATGGGATCATGCTTCACTGTCTCAATGTTTTCACGTTCTTGACTGTGATTTCCTGGTCCCTTGAGATTTATTTCACGAAACGAAAATCGAGAAAAGCAATGGAAAATAAAATGGCGCCAAACACACCATTAAATGTTTAATCTTGTGCAGTTTTTAATATATTTAAATGGAGAAACAAACATTTCCACAAGAAGGATTTGTTAATAGGTTGATAGTATTATTTAAAATAAAATGAACAAAATAATATTAGACACATTCGTTTAATTTTAATGGCCTTAAAGGTTTCGAAGGAAACAGACTATTTATTATGTAACTTCATTTTCTAAATACCTTATTAATTCATCTCTTCACTCTCCGTTCACTATCGTCACCATGCTAATATTTTACTATCCGTTCGATTTTTTTCCTCATCTCACCCACACTTCTTTCTTCTTCGTATTTCTTTAATTTGTGACTTGATCTCTTAATTTAATTACGTTTGCAAGGAAACCATGAATTGATGTATTCCGATAATAAAATAATAAATCAATGAAATTCAAAAACAAATATTTGAATCCTTCACAAAATATATATTAATATGCCAACGTATGATAATTAGAAATTGAATGTGACTATTATTACAGAACGCGTCAATAAGAATGTCGTAACAAATCCAATTCTTTCTTGTGATAAATGTGGCTGATAGTGCACGACGGGGATGTCGTTTTTACAGATTAGATTAATTGGTAGATTGTGTCGGCGCTTCTTTTTACAGATTAGATTAATTGGCAGTTTGTGTCGGCACTCGTCCGTATCGAAATTGATCAGTTTTCATTCGAAACGAACGCTTTGACACCTGTCATCGTGACTACGCAAAACCAATATTATTCTTGTGGAACTGTGTCTCTAATTTCCATTTGTTTATTGAAAACACTCGAAAGCTATCGCAAACAGCGCGATACGACGTACAGCGGATTCTGTGGGATGAGTTTTCCGTTGAAATTGGTGGTGATGTGACAAATAGGGATTAGGGAAAATTAAGCATGTTTGAACAGTGATATTGTTGTTTGCCTGGACGTACGTTGCAAGGGATTAATTTATTCCAAGGAAAGAAGATCTGAATGTAGCAGTCACGTCACGAGGTAGTTGAATTGCAACAAATTTGATTTACAAAAATATTATTTCATTCGAGTAAATTAACGCAATATAACGACATGTAGTTAGCAACAAAACGATAAAAATCGTTCATTTGTTCGCTATTGGTACAGGAACGAAATAAACATGTCGGCAGAAGAAACTGTGAAAGTGCCTCCGGATGGAAAATGGGGGTGGATGATTGTTTTGGGGCATGCTTTAAATGGGGTACGTCGATTACAATGATGCACATAATTTTTTCAAATCATTTGCATAAAGAATGAACAGTATACGTGCTATCTTTCTCTTATTAATTACGTATTACATATTAACAAAAAATATATATAAATTCCATATGCCTTCTTAGGATTCGTATTTTTAATTCAAAATGAAACTGCTATTCTCAGATCTCGACGATATCTCTTATGCAAGGATTCGGGTTGATATTTAAAGACACTTTCCCACGCTTTGGGATCAACGCGACAGAGGGGGCGGTTATTATTAATACGAATTTAGCTTTTGGTATGCTACTTGGATTAATTAATGGACCGTTATTGCGAATTCTCGGATACAGAAAATTGGCTATGATTGGTAGCTTGCTCTACTGTATCGGAGTGACAATGACGTCGTTCGCCAGGTCGTTTCCTGTCATTATGATTTTCTATGGTGTCTTTGCTTGTAAGTGCAATATTGCGTAATTTAAGAATTATACGATTAATAAGAAATAAGCATCGGTTGGTGACATCGCTATTGGTACATAATTTTTGGAGCAAACGGTTTATAGTTTACGAGACATATAGCATCGTTTATCTGAAGAAATGTAGAATAAATTTCGTAATTTGAAAAAAAAATATTTGCGTACACCTCAAATTTCTATACTACGAATAATATGATGCAAAATGAAAAATTCATTTTTTTAAATGTTAGAATAGAGAATAAAATGAAAATTAAAATACACGTTAGACAATCGTAATGTTTTCATCGAACGATAGCAAATTTAATTATGTTACATAATGATATTTTTCTGCATAGCGTTGGGAATGAGTACAACACTCTCTGCTTTTTCATACGCAGTGAATTCCTATTTTACAACTAAAAGGGGACGGGCAATGTCTCTAGCGTTAACATTGATTAGCCTCGGTCCTATTCTTGTACCACCAACTACGACGTTCTTAATTTCGTATTATGGATTTCAGGTATATGTTATTAATGCACTGTTATTTAATTTCGAAGCAATGATAAAGTAAACGAACGTTGATGTTGATTCCATCTGGAAAAAAAAAAACTTCAAATTATTCTGAAGTCAAGAGAACTGCGAAACCTTGAGGAAAACTTCCTGTTATTCGTGCTGTTCGTTCTTTAAAAATAATAGTCACGTTTATGATAGTCGAGATAAAAAGAACAACTATTCAAGATAAAGTAGATCGGCTCACTTCCGCCAATGGAAACTTGCGATAATCTAAGCAGATATTTCGTAATATATTCGGTATCAATTAAAACAAAAATTAGAAATATAAACAGAAATTGTTTAAAAAAGAAAAATGGAACAATATAGTAAACATAGATCAGTTGAAAAGGTAAAGCTTTTAGTGTAAAATATTAACGTATCTTACATGTATTTTCATAATTTGAATTAATAACAATGCAGGCAAAATGTTGTTCGAGAAAAGATTGATTGCGAAAATGTAGTGTATCTATTTATTTTCGAATGTGTATCGTTCATAATGAAAGTGTGATGAAAGAATTCTATAATTTTTTATGCTTTTAAATATTTTGTTGAAAGGGTACAATTCTTCTATACGGAGCGTTTAGTTTGCATTCATTGGTAGGAAGCTTATTACTTCAACCACTTAAATGGCATAAAGTAATTCGAAACGAGGAGAAATGTGTAAACGAAAAAGAAAACAAGACTGGAGGTAAGAATTTAAAAAAAATACATAAATTACAGTGGTAAAATGAAGTTAATGTTATTTTAAACTCCATTATCAATTGTTACGATCGAAAAACATTCTTTTCTTAATCAAATAATGATTACAGAAGTAAAACTTGTTGCGGACGTGAAAAATACTAGTTTTCAAGACGACTTAGAATGGGAGTTATGCAACCATCAAAGAAAACGAAAGAAAACTATTTCAAGTATCGATTACGACTCTGAAATTGAGAGTATATATGGATTTGATATACTTTATTCACCTCAGCTAATGGAGAATGGTAACTAAATAATATATACTGTAATTATATTTTTTTAAATTTATAAGTAAATTTTATTTTAAATTTATCAATTCAAAAATTAAAATTAATACAATTTAATAAGAGAATTACATAATCGTATTAATTTCATGTTCTAATTAAATTCGAAAATACAAACGCCATTAATTACATTTTTATCGAAGGATTCTAATTTAATACATATTTTGAACGTTGTTTTATAATCGTTGCTTATTTCAGTGTAAAAGTTTCTTTTACATTTCGACATAAATATTTGCATTTCTTGATAATGCATCGATTATAATAATAAATAACGATTTAGTTTCATCAAACGAAGTGGACATTGATAGATACATAATCGATGAACGCGATGACGTATCGAAGGGACACTTAAGAAGAAAGAAACGTAGTTTTTGTATGTATAAACAATATTTTACAAGTTAAATTAACCAGAATTTTTAATACTGACGTTAAGTTTTCTTGCAGTCAAGAGTGCCGATACGATCAATCTTGGTAGCAGCTTTACAATTTTCACGGACGTACCCGGTTCAGTGATGAAAAAAGAAAACTTGGGCATTTTCGAAGAAAATGATTCTTTATTACAAGGAAACGAAGAGAAGGCAATGGTAAACACAGGAACCGATTGCAATGACAAGTATGTATAACTCGAAGGTTTTATCTCGTTTTGCTCTCGCAAGTATGTCAGATAGCATCGATAAAGCGTTATGTATCGCTTCCTTTTATCTTTGTTACTCCACTTTGTGTTCGCAGTTGGCGATTATGTTATTAGCGCCACAATCCTATTTCTAAATTTTAAATAAATTTTCATTTCAGCCCCGAAAAGAAGTCAGTCATGGCAGATATCTTAAAGAAGGTAGGTCAGATATTTGATCTGGACCTACTGAGAGATCCAATCTATGTGAACATTATGATGGGAATGTCGATTGCTATTTTCGCTGAGGCAAATTTTTCTGTCCTGACGCCATTTATCCTAACAGATATGAAATTATCCACCGAGGGAATCAGTGCCGTTATGAGCGTAATTGCCATTACGGATCTCTTTTCCAGAATTCTTGCTCCGTTTCTCGGTGAATGGCTCCATCAGCCTCCGAGAATAATGTATTTATTAAGTTTGTGCCTTCTAATCTTCTTTAGGACGTGTACGTATTACAAACATTTTCTCGTTAGACCGCTGATATTGTGCGTTTATCTTTTCATGTTTCGTGATTTTCAACTTGGTTAATTCCGATACAGTGGTAACGTTTGCCTGTGGATCTATGATGTGGCTCGTTGGGGTTGGATTAGGAGCTTCTAAAGGGATCCGTTCGGTTTATATGAGTCTAGTGATACCTGACTATGTACCAATCGACAGGCTACCTAATGCATCGGGGATTCAAATGATTATGAATGGAATAATACTCTTAACTGCTGGACCAATGCTTGGTTCGTACAAATATATTATGTAGCTATTAATAGAATGGCAATTTTAAAAGTGTAGGAGTCTAAACGAAAAATAAGGCACGGAGATTCGAGAACCCACGATCCTCGGATCCACAGTCGACCGCTTTACCTACAAGACCAATCCCGTACCCTACGTTTCGTGTTCTTATTTGACTCCTTATTGTTGGGTATGGGAGCCGCGGATACTACAGAAGCTAAACTTGTTTGTTGAAAGCTTTTACACTGTTAAAATGATCAAAATTCCAACTGGAAAGTAGCATTGGAAAATGTATGCAATTAGCAATGAAGATAGAAAGAAGAGGTGAAAAAGTTTATTCTGGAATTTGCTGCACGATTTATTGAGATCCAACTTTCTTATTACTTCGATACAACTATTGTGCGTAATTAATCTAAGTCTGCAAAGGTAATTCATGAATGCAAGCCATAACTTCGGAAACGTCTGCGCGTTAAAATAAATAAAAGAACGTTGTACCAATTTTTCAAGCTCGTATATAGCCTAATTTTTGAGTTATGTATGAGTTATGGAAGTAGGTTAGTGAAATCAGTCACAAAATGGAATATTTTAACTAAATTATATATTTGGATAAAAATTCACACGTGCAGTTCAAATGGTAATTAGTGAAGTATTATGTTACTATTTTGTACAACGTTAATGAAGAGGTAGAAGGAAACCGAATGAAGAGAGGCAGAACGGTGAAGTGACAAGAAGTAAGCATTGTAAGAGAAAAATAAATTGTTACCCAGTCTCAGGAATATAAAGAAGCTTGATTACTAGTCGCACGTGTAAAACGAATATCGCATTGTTCTCAAATAGTAAGTGAAAACACATATCACGCGATGAAGTCGAGCCAGTCGCACTGGAAATCTTGCGTCCCAGAACTAAAAACTGTTATCAATGTTTTATCGATATAAAGATATGTAAACCATCCAATATTTTGGTTTACCAATTTTTTTCGTATTTTCATTTAAACAAGAACTATAATTCGTTCTAATTCTTGGAATTTGCAAAACAATCGAGCACGTCTCAACTATTTAACAGCAATTTAAGAAATCTAGAAAGCAACCAAGAGTGATATCTTTCAAAAGCTAATTAATTCACATCGTTAATGATACTGTTATTAATATAACTAAATACAACTTGTCTTTGCACCTGTTTTAGGCATAGTTCGCGATCTCACTGGACACTACACACCCTGTATATTCATAATGAATAGTGTTACAGCACTCACAGTAATTTTGTGGACAATTGAAATGTATATCGTACGAAGGAGGAAATTACGAATGCAAAAGCAACTTCAAGATAAGCAACTTGCAGAACGTGTATTATAGTTGTCGTTATTTGTGATTCCTAGGTCCTTTCGTCAATCTGCGTACACTGCCATGTTAATTGTTTCATAAATCTGAGATTATTATATAAACAAATGAATTCTTAACAAACTAGCGAATGAACAAGTAGGAAATGAACGTTACGAGCGTGTATAATTTTTTCTACTTCAGTAAATCGGAGAATTGACGTTAACATTGATTTAATGTATATAATAAACAAACTATTAAGAAATTATATTCAAATTAGCAGTGTGATTTTGTATTATTTGCAAGTGGAACGAGGAAAGAAGTAATTACGTGTTGTATGAAAAATGTAAATAAATTATTTTGTATGTATTATTTAAACAATAATGTAAAAGAAAAAAACAAATGTTAGATAGTATAAAAAAAAAAGTGTCTGTGTCTTTCGATTTAATTCAGAATATATTTGTCACATTTTCCTGTACAATAAATGCGTAAAATCTGCGGTCTAATAATAACAAATTCTGTTTTTTTCTAGTATACAAGTTGTCAGATGCGCAAACCTGCTTTCGCGGGCGCCATGGCGCCCTAGGGCACCAACGTTGGGGACCGCTGAACTAAACATTAATTAAGGTCATGTGCCTGTTCAATGTCGTTCGCCACAGGAGTAGACTTAATGACGTGAAGTGTTTCGTTACCGCGGCTCGAGCCTTTTTTACCGCAGCGATCTTGACTGGCAACAATGGATCGTGTTTTCCCAGAATCTTCCGGTAAAAGTTCTCGCACGCCATTAAGAGAACAACGTGCGATTAAAACTTTTGTTTGAACTAGATGATCATTCTTGCGTCGCGATTTGGATAATCGAAAATGAACTGAATTCCAAAAACTTATCAGACGCGCACTGGAAATAATTGACAGAAATGGTTTCTGGTAAAATTGGAGTCATTTTTGATTAGGTGCAGATAGATGGATCTAATTGAGAATAACTCTTACTTGCCGTTGGAAAGTGTCTCGGATATTCAGGCCAGTGGAGGAAGAAATGTATTGTTCGTTAAGAATCCAAGTGACGCATAGGAGTAATATTTATCGTAATGTAATAATAGCTTTTTTGAAATTTGACAGATGAAACGTTGCTTAGTCTTGGGAAACTTCGTAAAATTTAAAGAACAACTGTTTTTGCTGAAAATTTTTTTGTGACTCCTTCGAAACATTACCTAAACGCAGTAACAGTTTAAAAAAATAACTATTTAGTCATTCAGTTTAAAAAAATTCCTAAACAGTACAATCGTGTTTTAGAATTTCCGGAGGCATTCCACGTTATTCTTGCAGTACATACAATAAAAGTAGAGAGTAGCGTCGTCCCGAATTTTAGTCACGAGCTTATGGTAAAGTATTCGCGCTTTTCAATCGATGAAACAACGTGAAACGGAATACGATCCCCTTTCACCGCATAATCGGGAAAGTATTAAACATTGTCAATCCGTCGGCACACGGAATACGCATGAATGTGCATTGCCGCAGCATCTGAATACAAATGGGTGACTTCTTTTGGCCGACTACCAACTAAGTAAAATCATCGAAAGTGACTGGGTAAACGGAAACTCAGGCACATGGCGTAAAAGGAGAAAATTCTATAAAATGTGGATAATAAATTGTTACGATGAATTTTCTACTATTATACAATTTTAATTATAAAATTTACACGTTAATTTACCAGTACTTACAGTTGCACTTAATTTAATTTTATTTGTCATAAGGATGAAACCTTAACGTATATTTACAAGATAACATAGTTGAATAGCATTTCGGTAAACAAAAAAGGAATTTTCCTATATAATAGTTTATAATATTTCGTATTAACTACAGTTTTCCTCTTCATAAAAAAAGAAAGGAAACGAAATAATTACGAAGACAGCATCCTTCGCACCTTTTTACAAAGTTAACTACTTATTTTACATATTATTCGCTAGTTGACTTATTCTTAGTATAACCATACGTAAACATTCACTGGCCTTAGTAAACTTCTAAACTGGCATTTAGAACACTGAAATCATTTCATTCGTAGTTTGATTTAGGTGATCAGTCAATTATTTATTCACAATTACGAAGTACCGTTTTTCTGAGCCTCCGCGTTTGAAACGTATCCCCATGTCATCGTTTGGCTCGCGAAACCTATAAATAATATCAGTAATGACGCGACAACATTTTAATAAACGTCAACGATACAAATTCCAGTGCTCCCCTCCCCGGGCAATTTAGACTTAATTTTCCAGCAATTTAATTACCCAGTCCCTAATAAAATCAAATTTCACCCACTCGTCACTTCTAAAGTAACATTCGCCTACCTTCGAGTGCCCAGAGTAAAGGACAGGTCCATCCAAGACGTCTCCAGTCGATTCCTCGCCAGTGTCGTCCACGTTCAACGCAGCAAATGCTTCGTGTTCCATGATTCCCCATAAAGGAACGTCTTCCTTCCCCGTGGACGCCACGGCGAGATTATTCACCGCCTGAGGGAGCACCTGATAAGCTTTCTCGATGGCCTCGAATTCGCTCAAACCGTCCTCGCTTTTCCCAGCATCCTCCGTGGACGTTTCGCTCGTATTACGCGAATTTTTAAGATCCCCCTCCCCTTTCGATTTCTCGTGTTTGCTCTTGGATGACGTTAATGGCACCGATTGGGGCGTCACCACGTAAACTCGTTCCTTATTTACAGGCGATATCGACACAGAGTATCCGTCCCACGTCGACAATCCGTTCGTTGTTGTCTTGTTTACGCTGTCAGAGATGCTGCTCGTCGACTTGGAGCTTTCTATTCGAACGACTTTGAGGGGCTATAGAGGAAAATTTGGTATAGAGTCTCTTATTCGACGATTAAATTTTTTCCTAATTTCGTTTAAAACCTGAAGTCCCCAACGTCAAATTTGTCAAATTGAACGAAAAAGCAGAACTGTGGACCAAACAGGCTGATCGTTCACATTTTTTTTATAGTTTTAAGGTACATGCATATTGTATATTTTAGACGGGTCTAGGTAAACCTGAACAAACTCAAGCAAACCTGAAAAAACCTGAACGAAACTGAGGAAAATTGAACACAATTTACAACACCCTATAAATAATATTAAAATGAATTGGCACGTAGATTACCACTCGAGTTTCTTCAATGTGATTGCTAGCGGAACCCTCGTGTTCGACTTCGTTGAAACTGAATCCAGCCAAGGAATACGACTTGACACTTTCGCTCTTATCGTTCGATTCGTTTCTATGATCGCCAGGTTCTGTCGTAGTCAGATACTCCGTTGGGATTTTCTTTGATGGCAAGAGGTATGGGTGCGATGAACTGGGCAAGACTGTACTGGACGTTGGAAATTTGGAATATTCCTAAATAAACATTGAACATCGCTTGTTTTACATTACGTTTCTTTCTATTATATCGACTGTGTATATTTTTATCGGCGAGGTAAATGTCCTAATTATCGATACATTTCTTAACGATCTAATAAACGTTGAAAGCACACGTTTAAGCTTACTTGTATGGTCCAGTTGTCGATGTTCTTTTGCAACCTGCGCACATCGATAGAATTATTAGCTCTGGTCGCAGTAGGTCTCGCATCGTTGTCCTTTGCTATCGATGGCGGCTTCGTATTCGATCTATTCGAATCGCTGAAATTAAATTGCGATTGCAAGTGATTAATTAACCGAATCTCGTTCCTCGACTCCTGTTGAACGTAATTATCGATGCTTGCATCGTGGGACGGTGGAACTTTCCTTGGTTGGGTTCTTTCGAGATTGTTTTTAACGCTCCAATCACCGTACGATTGTTGAAATGGTATCGGCGTGTATTCCGACGTGTATGGTATGATGACTTGCACCTAAAACAGCATTATTATACAGTGTGCAATTAGAGATAAACAAACGAATCTGGTCTGACGAACAACTTACTTGTTTATTTCGTTTAACGTTTTGCGGTCTCTGAACGAAATCCTTCGAATCTGGTCTGCCTTGCTGCTCAGAATTCTTCGCTTCTTTCGAAGTATTATGCCACCGAGCAAGGGGATCCAAGGACGCGTTGTTCTCGAATGTTTCATTCCTCGTGTTTGGAGCATTTAGCAACAAACTAGGCCACAGGAACCCTGCCTGGCCAGACGGTGGGATATAAGAAACATCCTGATGATTCGTATACCCACTGGTGATCGTCGACGTTTCGCTATACTGACGATCGTCATTCCCCGAATAATCCACAGTAGTAGACGTCGAAGTTCCAAAGTCGCCATTTTGCTTGTTAAACGAAGAATAAGCTTCGATCGGTTTGGTGAAGCTCGAGGAATCCTCGATGAAGGAATTACCAGGCTGCAAATTGTAGTTAGCAGTGGTCTTCGCCACATCGTCGTACGTTACAGTGGACGATGGCCACTGTTTATCATCCGTGTGACTGTCGCCCTTCTTCGTGAGGTCCAGCAACGGCGACTCTTCGAAATGTATAGAACTCTTATCGGTAGAAGGGCTACTAGCGAACGTTGTTTGCGTCGTCGCATGAGAGTCCTTCGCTACGCTACTGCTAGGCGACAAATCATCGGAATATTGATAGTTCAAGCTTTTGCTACCCTGATCGTCGAAAGCAGACGCTCCGAAGCCAGTGGACAGATTCAAATTTGGCGGCAAATAATTGAAATCACCATTAGGACCGTGGTATTCTACGCCGTTCTGACTAGTGAAGCCATGATTTCCGAAATCTGACGCTCCAAAACTGGTGATGGTATCCTGACTGCCTTGTTGATCCAGTATTCCATGCTCCTGCTGTGGGCCTGACGGATTATGGTATCCCTGGCCCTCGGATGGCCCAGAAATAGGTGTTCGATTATCAAAGATACCAGTACCAAACGACTCTTTGTGACCATTCAACTCTTTATTCTCGTTTCCATGATTCTGAGCCGTGACACTCGCGTGTCCTTGACTCAACTGGGTCCCACTGGGCCTCGAATCGTGATTGTCACGATTATTAAAGTGTTCGCCGTTGATCTCAGGAGGACCCTGTCCACTCGGAGGAATCGCAGGTAAAGGGGGTGGTTCCAAATTTCCCACGTTTTCCGTGTAAGGATTCTGAGGTGGCCGATCGAAGGGCTGCGCCTTGTATAGGGGAGGCATCGGACCAGAGAACAAGTGCGGGTCGGACGATGGCCCTGTCACCCCTTGTTGACTATTTTGATGAATCTGCACGTGAGAGAAGTCTGGGATCCTGACTTGGTGCGAAGCCGCGTGTTGGACGTCGTGATGATCTTGGTTAGGGGGAGGAAGGTAGCCATTGGGGTGTTGCGGTGGAGGAGGGTACGCGCCCGAGTGAAGGCCACTGTCCTGCATCGGGATCCAAGGATACTTGTTGCAAGGATTGCATTGTTTCTTTGGAACTGAGGGGAAGTGTCTCGCGCCGTGCAACGTCGGTGGAGGAGGGTTGAAAATGGGTACAGAAGCAGAGGGATGATCGCGTGGGAGAACAGGATGCTCAGGGTGAGGTGGGAGAACCGAACCAGGATGTGGACCAAGGGATGGACCAAGAGGAGGGTATAGAGGGAGATTGGGTTGTGGTCCAGGCGAAGGGTACAGGGGTGGACCTGGTTGAAGACCAGGTGGAGGTTGTAAAGATGAGCCAGGTTGCGAGGCGGAATGGTGGAGGTTGAATGGTGGATGTGATTGGGGAGTTGGTAAGAATGGAGGTGACTTTGAAGGCGAAGATGGTGGTGAACCGTAACC